ATTGTCAGCTGTACCTTTGCTGACTCATCCTTAGTGAAATTTTGGTGGCTAAAGCTCCTTGGCTGTACTGCCCGAAGCCCACATTGATTGTCTCCAGGACAATTCCTGCAGGCAGACAGCTCTGCCAGGCCCAACACCCTTCCTCCCCGGTATCTGCGTCCTCACACTCAAATTTCCTTGTCGCCTTGGGTGACCGTTTGGGTCAGCACTGCCACGATCTCCCTCATTGCTCTTAGTCTTCTGGCTCTCTTGGTTTCAGCTCCCCCCAGTCGCTGGTTTCTGTTGTTGCCACTTGCCTGCTGCCCTAACAGTCCTTTCTCCCTCTTGCTGTAGCTGCTAACCCAGGGTCAGGCCTCTGGGAGCCTTTGCTTCATCCTCAGCAGGAGCCTGTATCCCTTACCTAGCTCAGAAGGCCCTGGCAGCCGGGCCTCTGCTCGCCTCCCCACCCCTTCCGGAATAGCCCCCGGTAGTCCTTTGGCACTATGCTCGTGTTTTCATTATCTCAGCTGACCCCTCTTTCTCAGTGTGTTAGATGCTCTTTCCTCTATCTGGAACGCTTATGCCTTCTGCTCCGAGATTTTTTCTTGTGTTTTTATTCCCTTTGCAATATAGAAGTATTTGTATTCTACTAAAAATAAATGGAGCTATTTGTAGAACTTAGTACTATACTGTGGATTCTGCTAACTGTGGTTTAAAGTTTCTCAGTGTCAGAGATACTAGATTTGCCACTTTGAACCCTTGTAGTTTTTCCTCTCATCATCCATGCAGTTGTGTCTTTCAGATCAACAGTGCTTACAAAGAGGTGTTTGGAAAGCACACGTTATTTATTGGCTAGTGAATCAAATGTTCTTGTTTGTGTTAAAATTGCAGAGTGCAGTCTCAGGGAGGAGGTGCTGGTGCCAGGCCACATGTTGCTGTCCTTGAACAGAACCCGAGGCCATCATAGTTGAGACAACAGTTACGTTCAAATGCTTTAGGCGGAGAGCTTGAAGTGGATATGGGCACCTCCCTTGGAAGGTTTAGATCTACTGATGAGTTGCAGGTAAACCAGCAATCCACATGTGGGGTCACTCAAATCCCTTTTGGGCCAGTTTCTGGGCATTCTTTTCTGGAGAAATGAAAGAGCAGAGTGATAAGCTGGCCAGAGAGAGTAACTCTTCAGCGCCGCCAATTCCTCCTGGCCTTCAGGAAACACTCCCAGGTGAGCCAGGTGCCAGAGACCCAGCAGGGAGGAAGTCTCCTTTGAGCAGTCCCTTGGCCTGAGGAGGGGGTGACCTGGTGACAAGGGGGCTTCTGTCTTCAGGCAGCTGGGGGTGGAGGAGGTAGCTGTCTGTGATGGGAGCTTGGGCACCAAGCCTTAAAGAATGTGGAGGATGGAGGCAGGTGAAAGGAGTTGCTGGGAGGTTTCCTGGCCTGGGGCTGCGTCGTGAGCACCCAGGTCCAGAAAGCAGCAGCTGTAGGACCATATGGAAGATGGCATTTCTCGTACCAAAAGAGAAATGCAGATAAATAGTTTTGGTGGAGACAAGGTGTAGATGGGCACAATGACCAAGCTGGGGACAAGAGTCCCACCTCTGGCTGGAAGGAGCTCTCTGCCTTGCTCCTGCTCCCACTGGCTCATCCTTAGATGTCAGTGCTTAGACAAAATAAAAAGCCTTTGTTGTTGGACAGGTAACTGCAGTGCAGGAGGAAGTGGGTCAGGAGGCCCCAAGAAGGCGGAACTGTAGCGCTGTGCCAGGCAGTCCGAGGCCATCTGTCTGGAAGCTGTGCCTCTTCCCTCTCGTTTCAGAGTCTGACACAGTGGGCAGAGATCTCATGTGGGACAGAGTCCCTCCACTGTGGTCCTAAGTTTGGTTTTGGAACTGCCTGGCTTAATTTCAGAGACAGTACTGTGTCTGAACCTGGGCCCTAGGGATCAGACCTGTTAGCTCCTCACTGCTGATGGATTCCAGGGAAGTCACTTAACTTCTCTGAGCCTCAGGTTTCTCATCTCTAAACTGGGGTGACGAGATGATGAAGCCCAGTCTTGACTTGGAAAAATACTCCGTTGTGGCTAATGCTACTGGAAGTGACTGAGGACTGCCTGCTGAAACCTTTGGCCATACAGAGGACGAGGTTAAGAGTCTTGCTCAGGGTTACCTTGCTAGTTACTACTAGGTTAGCAAAAAGCGGTTTGTGCCGGTGCCGTGGCTCACTAGGTTAATCCTCCGCCTGCGGTGCCGGCACACCAGGTTCTAGTCCCAGTCGGGGCACCAGATTCTGTCCCGGTTGCCCCTCTTCCAGGCCAGCTCTCTGCTGTGGCCCGGGAGTGCAGTGGAGGATGGCCCAAGTGCTTGGGCCCTGCACCCGCATGGGAGACCAGGAGAAGTACCTGGCTCCTGGCTCTGGATCAGCGCGGTGTGCCGGCCGCAGCGGCCATTGGAGGGTGAACCAATGGAAAAGGAAGACCTTTCTCTCTGTCTCTCACTGTCCACTCTACCTGTCAAAAAAAAAAAAAAAAAAAAAGGCAGTTTGTGTGGGTTTTGCATTGTGCGCATGGTTCATTTTTCCTAGAATGATTTGCTAGGTGAGTATAAAACTGTGACTTTCAAAACTGTGCGATGCAGGATGAAACATTTCATCAGTAGTAGATAAATCAGACCTTTCATCACTGTGACCGAAGGCAGGTCCTCTGGGTTTCTCATCTGTGAAAAGAAGAGACTGTCTTACATAATCTCTTAGTTCCCGTCAAGCTCTAGCAACTTTCCAAAAATTTAATTTGAAAACTGTTTCTTGTGGCTAAATTTAGCTGTAATTTTTGAAACAACAATTGAGTTTTTGAATTTACCAGTTCTAGGTTTTGTGAACTGGGTACCCCAATGTCAAAGAGAAATACAGATGAAAAGCATTGGAGGCTCAGAAAAGAGAAATCCTGTTAGATGACATTAAATGACAAGAAAGATTATAATAATGCTAGGAGAATATTATTTTGCAAAGTGGAGAAAATAATGGAAAAGTAATTAGCATGTTTGTGTTTAACAAATGATAGTTTGAAACTAACTTTGAATTTAGTTTTTTTCCACATTACTGTTAAAAACTACCTTTTGTCCCCCAACTGTAAGTGCTTACAAAAGCATTCACCAGGGATCATCAGAATAAGCAAAGCGATCCTTCCTATGTTTATAAAGACCTTTTCATAAATAAATATATGTACACGCATACTTTTTTATTTAGAAATTTAGAAGTGCACTGCTGGGGAAGGCATTCAGCACGGCTGTTGCATCTGCTTGAGTCTCAGTCTGCTTCTCATCCAGTTTCCTGCTGATGTGCACTCTGGGAGGATGCAGGTGGTATCCTGAATGCTTGGATCTCTGCCACTTACGTGGGGTACCCTGTTGGAGTCATTGGCTCTTGGGTTCCTGGCCCAGCCCTGGCTGTTGGAAGCATTTGAGGACAGAACCAGTAGGTGGAAGATCTCTTTCTCGCTCTACCTTTCAAATAAAAATGGGTGGAGGAGGCAGGGAGAAACAAAAAGAGAAAGGAAGGAAGGAAGGAAGGAGGGAGGGAGGGAGGGAGGGAGGGAGGGAGGGAAGTGAAAGGGGAAAAGGAAATGCATTGCTCATTGACATGTAGTCACATAATTACAAAGCTGTGAAAAATTCAGCTTAATAATTTGCATAGAGTTGGCAATTACTGAAATGTGTGCATTTCACTATGAATCTTTTTTTTTTCCTTAATCCAATAATTTAGGGCCCATCTTCTAGAAAATGATGACTTTCAGGTAGATTTGGGATAAGGCCTTAACTGGTTTAGTCATTGTGGGCTTCAGAAGCCCTTTTTGTCTTCGACTCCTGGTGGTGATAAATACTGGCTCCTTCCTTCTCGGTCACAGCCTGTGCAGCTCCCTGGTTCTTACCACTGGGCACAGGTGTCCAGGTCTGTGCTGGGGGCACCTGTAGTGTACTGCTAGCAGTGCTCCCTGGACAAAGCTGTCGTAAGGAACAGGGTGAAGTCTTTCTGAATCTCCCTGACCTTAGCACCCTCCACCAGCTGACTGTCACTGGCTGTGAAAACTGGCTGTCAGTTTTTTCACCAGGAATAAGGTGGCTAGACTGCCTCCTGCACAGTGCAGACTGAACCCCTCCTGCAGTCCCCCTCTGCAAGAGGATTTGCCAGAGGAGTTTAAATACTGCCAAAGACACATGAGCACAAAGCCTTCCCTTTGTGGGTTCCTGTCCAGAAAGGCAGTTTTGGCATCAAAGAGAAAAGTTTGTACTCAAGACCTTCTTGCTTTTTCTTCTTTCCCTACTTCCTGGGCCAAGTTTTGGTGATAAGATATAAAATTATTAGTATCTGATGTCAGCTTATCTCCAAATTCAGCAACTTGCTGAAGAAATGTGTTCAGAATTACATGTGTAAGAACATATTTAATTCTTCCCCAAAATAATGGTACTTCAGAAATTCTGTGGAAAAATGGAATTAATACATAAGTTTATCTTGGTGAAAAAAAATTGAAATCCATGCTTAGTTTTTTCATAATATGCATTTTCTATGAACTTTTTTGAAGACCTCCTCATACTGAATGAGACAGATTTTAATTAATAAGAACAAATTAGTGGATTGCTACATTTCCTCAGTGCTTTGTTCAACATGAATCTCATTTATGAGTCCCTTATTGAGCCAGTGTGAGGTTGGTTTTTGTATCAGATGTAACCCATGTGCTTTATGTTTTGGATTCCCTATGCTGTATTCTTTCTCCCGTGCTGACTTCCTGTCCTCATGCTATTGGGGTTGCCTCTGCCCAGCTGTTTTATTTTGTGTGTATTTAAATTGCATGAGCTAAATTTCATATGGCCAGTAGTGTTAAAATCTGTCAGAAAAGTTAGCCTGAAGATATAGAAAATGTTATGCTGTGAGTTAATGACTTTTTAAAAGATTTATTTTATTTGAAAGGCAGAGTTACAGGGAGGGAGGGAGGGAGGGAGAGAGAGAGAGAGAGAGAGAGATGTCTTCCATCCGTTGGTTCACTCCCCAAATGGCTGCAACAGCTGGAGCTGCACTGATCCGAAGCCAGGAACCAGGAGCTTCTTCTGGGTCTCCCACACGGGTGCAGAGGCCCAAGGACTTGGTCCATCTTCCACTGCTTTCCCAGGCCATAGCAGAGAGCTGCTTTGAGTAGCTGGGACTCAAACCAGCGCCCATTTGGGCTGCTGGCACTGCAGGCAGTGGCTTTACCCGTTACGTCACAGTGCTGGCCCCAAGTTACTGATTTTTTTAATACCCAACCCAGAGTTGATTTTTTTTTTTTAATGTACTATAGGAGGTTGCCTGTGAAAAAGCTTTGATAATAGCAGTTTGCTTTGTAAAAAGTTTCTGATGAGGAATATAATATATTTGGAATATTGATACAGTCTTGCCCATGTGCCTAGGCAGCCACACCTGTCAGATCTTTTTTTTTTTTTTTTAAGATTTATTTATTTACTTGAAAGAGTTACACGGGGGAGGGGGGTGTCTTCCATCTGATGGATGGTTCACTCCCCAATTGGCCGCAATGACCAGAGCTACACCATTCCGAAGCTAGGAGCCAGGAGGTTCTTCTGGGTCTCCCACGTGGGTGCAGGGGTCCAAGCACTTGGGCCATCTTCCACTGCTTTCCCAAGCCGTGGCGGAAAGCTAGATGGGAAGTGGAGCAGCTAGGTCTTGAACTGGTGCCCATATGGGATGCCGGCACTTCAGGCCAGGGTGTTAACCCGCTGCACCACAGTGCCGGCCCCAGATCTTTTCAAATACTATATTCTTAAATCATTTAAATAGCCTGGAAATTTTAAACATTTTGGCATTCTAGGTCTTCCACAACTCTTTACCCATAACATTGGGTTAAAATTTTCTTTTTTTGGCATTGTGTGTGTGAGTTGAGGGTTCAGAGATCTGGTTGCTGCAGAGACCTGAAAGCCATGCTCCTCTGGGACCGTGTCATCTGCCATTTGCACCTGGGGACACTGGTGTGTTGGTGCTCTTGGCCGCTGGGCCCTTCACAGTCTCCCCCACGGCCCAGTGTTCTGAAGTTCCTTACACTCTGGGAAGTGGGAGCACACTAAGTCAGGGGCTGTCTGCTGCCCGGCACAGGTACCTCCAGGAACTGTTCTCCTGAACACAACTTGATCAGCAGCACAGCGGCCTGTTCTTGCTGTGGCATGGGGACAGCTGATGGGATTCGGTAAGGAGCCTGGATCAGCATGGGACTGAGAATAGGACTAGGTCGAATCAGTCTTTGGAACTTGGGCAGCAAAACCCCAATCAGACTGGCTTTCTTCTAGGAAGTTAGACTGACGCAGGAAGTGGGACCACCAGCCCTGCATTTAACTCTTGATTTGTAACATCTTGTTTTTTCTTTTTCTTTTTTGGTAGTTCAAGTTTAACCAGACCAGCTAGCTATGAGGGAGGCATTTGGTCTGCCATTTCAACAATTGGTATCCTGTTAATTTCTGTACTTACTAAATAAGATTTAAAATCATTGGTTCTTTCTTTTAAAACCTTAAACATTAAAAACGAAAACCTTTTGAACAGTGTTGTTTACTTAAAGATGTCTTTGATTGCCTATGTAGAACTAATGCAAACGTTTGAAACATGAATCCCTTGAGAATTTTCTTTGCTGTCGCTCCCCCATTCGCGGAGGAATGACACTAAACCCTGCGCTGTTCTTTCTTCTGCTCGGCCCTTCCCGGGTTTGCTGCTGGTCCTTCCTGGGTTGGCTGCCGACCCCTCCACCTCCGTGGAGGGGCGGCTCCCCCTGCCACTTTCCCCACTTCCGCGGAGGAGCGGCACACACCGCCAGCCGGCTCTCTCGGGGGCTGCTCAGATGTTATCTGGATGTTCCCTGGTGCATGTTGTCTCTCTCCTCCTTTATAGTCCTCTTCCTCCAATCCCAACTCTGCTACCCACACGCCGAGCACGCTGCTCTCCTCCAATCAGGAGCAGGATCAGCTCCTGCAGGTTGTCAAACTGATGAGGCAGCTGCGTAGAGGTTGTTTGGTCTCTTTCTCTCAGCGCCATATTGTGGGAGAGCAGATGCATAGAATAAGTCTTAATTCCAGTAACTTAGTCTAGTCTCAGTTGCTCCCCACACTTTGCCCTTTCAGTAGTCCCATAGTATACAGTGAGATCAAAGTCATACCTGGTGTGACTTTTTAAATTATCTGTTTGGAGCTCCTCAAATACAGAAAGCAGCCGTGAAACATTTTTACATGTTTTGTTGTTAACATGAAGTTCTACTAAAAGAAGGCAGACTGTAAACACAGACTTAGTCTTTAGTCTTACTGAGCAGGGTACAAGAGAAGAGAGGGGGCCGCAGGCCATAGATGGAGTTAAACTTCCTGCCTGTGCACATTGCTGCAGCAGAACAGGAGATAGCTTGTGTTTGGTGTGGCCTGAGTTAAAGGTGGCCATTGCACTTTGCCCTTGACACAGTGCCTGCCCAGATTTTGTCTCCAGTAAATGACCCGCCCATATCAGGGCTGTGGGACTACCCTGGAAAAGGAGGTGTTCCACTGGACCTGGGGAAGTGGTGTGGGTAAAAGGGTGGTGTGGGTAAAATCAGGACCTGCTTGCCTTGAGCCTTGGCTCACCCCTCAGTGTCCTAGTGTCCTTGTCTGTTTTCTTTCAGTTTTCTCTTCTTTTAAATTTTAATTGACGTTTTTACTTGAAAGTCAGAGAGAGAGAGAGATTCCACCCACTGATGATCCACTTCCCCAGATGCCCACAACAGCTGGGACTGGCCTGATCCAATCCAGGACTACCATGTGGTTATCAAGGACCCAACCACTTGAGCTGTTACCAGCTGCCTCCCAGGCTGCGCATTAGCAGGGAGCTCGAAGCCAGAGAGCACCCATGAGTGAAACTCAGGCACTCTGATATGGGATGCGGGTATCCCAAGCCAGTGCCCTGAAATTTCTCCTGTAATTTCCATCTAAATGTAGCTGTTAGAGATTATAAATGAATCCTTGGGGGAGAAAGCTGGTTTGCATTTCCAGTGATTTTAACTGTATTTCAGACTTCAGCATTCTTTTAGTTGGTGTGTTTAGTAATTTGAGGTAATAAATACATACTTTATTATATTTGTCTCTGTGCATAAAGATAATATACAGTAATAAAGCCCAGCACCTAGTGTAAAGTTGGCCTAGATGGACGTCAGTGCGTCTTTTCTCTTCCCAGATGGTAAAGCATGCCTGCTCTTCCAGTATGGGGCCTTTCTTTCTGTGTGCAGGGGCACCTTCTTTGATAACTAAAAGAGCTTAGTGGCTGTCAGAGAATTTAGTAATCTGTCTGCCCAACAAGCAAAGGCGATTATCTTTAACTGTAGACAGGTCACTCAGGGAAAACTGAAATCTCTGTCAAGGTAAGATAAATATCCTTGTCCTTCACTGTGGCTCCGACACTCCATTATTTTGTGTTCTTCACTACTGTCCCATGAGGCTTTTACATGAGCTGCTGGTGGAAACTCACACTCACTTCAACTCAGTACACTATGGTGCTAGTACCCCAGTCATCCCCAGGTCCAAGCTGGAGTCAGGGGAGGTAGGAGGTTCAGCTCTTGTGTCCTCTAGCTAGGTATTGCGTTCTTGCAGCTCGTTTCACGTGAACACTGAGGGGGACTTGCAGGTCCTACCGGAATTTAACAGGATTTGTGTGCTCTGAACGTGTTGCTAGCTTGATCGGTCCAGCCCTGGCTGTTGGTGGCCATCTGGGGAGTGAACCAATGTATGGAAGATATTCATATTCTCTCTCTGACTTTCAAATAAATGAAAAAAATCTTAAAAAAAAAAAAAGTGGACACACACACACACCCCACCCTAATATAGAAGATGATCCAGAGTCCGATTCCTGAAAATGATTTTGCCACATGCATTTTATTTACAAGTGACTTTAAAAAGAACATATATAAAGTAAGACATGCCTTACTTACCTTGTTATGATAACAGTGAACTCCGCCTGCTGGATTGAAGTTGCAAGGCCTCTGATGAGTTTCTGTGTAATGATATCTTTGCTGGGTGGAACGCTGGGTTGCTCAGAGTCTGACACAGGTGCCACGGATTGTCGAGTGAATGGCTGCTTCATCGTGGCAGTGGTAATTCCCTGCTAATAGACCTGGACTCATCCATACCTTTGAAAGCAGCAGGGAAATTTTAGCTCAGTTTCCTCCCAAAGGAGTGCCAGTACTTCCTGGAAGAGAGTGCAGAGGGCCTCATGGAAGATTCAGAGGGAAGAAGACTTTTTCTAAGGAGCAGATGACCTGCAAAAGTGATGTCTGCAGACAAGGGCTACAAACAGCTTTGGTTCTCCAGACAGAGCAGCTTTCGTGGGGTGCTGGGAGGGGAGCCGCTGTATTCCCCGATGGATGAAAGGAATGTGTGCCGAAGCTCAGTCCACTCTGGAGAAGAAGCCTGGAGGAAAAGGGAAGTGGAAGAGAGGTGGAGGCCAGAGGGTACAGAGACAAGCATTGAGGGGTGGGTTTGTGTGGGGTTCATTTTGTCTTAAGAAGAGGGGAAGAATGCTTGCAGGCCAGAAAGAGCAGAGAGAGCAGGAGGTTTTATAAAGTCATGAACATGCTTTTCTGAAACGTTTAGATTTGTCAAGGAGGAGGCCTGGAGGAGGTTCAGTGACAGGTAATTAGGGAGCCAGTCTTATGACATATACATAGGAGTTTTCCATTTACATTTTTACAGCCCATGGTAAAACAAAAATGAATTCGCTGAACAAATTCATTGAGACTTGAGTCTGCCAACACTAGGAACAGAGCAGTGGTGAAAGACAAAGCTCCCTGCTCCCGTGGAGACCGCGTTCATATAAGTGGTTACAAGTGTGCTTTGAACGCACTTTCATGGTTTCTGCTTGCATGGAGTTTTCACGTTTTGTGGACTTGTTTTAGGGGTATCTGAACACTTCCTGTAAGTGTGCAGAGGATTGCATTGTCTGCAGCCCTCTGGGTGGCTTTTTGCGTCTCTGCCTTCTTCCTAGCTGTGGCTTTTAGTCATCTCATAGAAATACCGTCCCTGTCCGTGTGTTACCTGGTCAGTGTGTGTATCTGAGTGGTAGCCAGACAGATGTTGGAGTAAAAAGGCATAAGGATGGCATCTCCTGGGAAGTGATCCAGGAATACTTTTGTGGTGATTATAAACTATCAAAGTTGGCCAGAGCCGCGGCTCACTAGGCTAATCCTCCGCCTGTGGCGCCGGCACCCCGGGTTCTAGTCCCAGTTGGGGTGCCGGATTCTGTCCCAGTTGCCCCTCTTCCAGGCCAGCTCTCTGCTGTGGCCCGGGAGTGCAGTAGAGGATGGCCCAAGTGCTTGGGCCCTGCACCCGCATGGGAGACCAGGAGGAAGCACCTGGCTCCTGGCTTCGGATCGGCGCAGTGTACCAGCCGTAGTGGTCATTTGGGGGATGAACCAACGGAAGGAAGACTTTGTCTCTCTCTCTCTCTCTCATTGTCTATAACTCTGTCTGTCTTTCTCTCTCTCACTGTCTAACTCTGCCTGGCAAAAAATAAATAAATAAACTATCAAAATCTTAAAATAGTTTTTAGAAAAATGATTTAGGGCCTATTCAGAAATACCTTTATAGATATCACCTGTTCCTCCTGTATACCGATAGTATACCTCCTGTGTACCTCCTGTATAATGGGCTAGATAGTGATAAGAGTTAGGGCTGAGACTTTGACACTTGCTCAGAGGGTCTTATCTCTGTAGCCAATAGGGAATGACTGGTTATGTATTAATGACTAATGTGACATTCCCTACACAGGTCTTTTGAAGTTTTGTCAGTTCACTGCCTGTGAATATGTGTCATCATGGCAGAGTTGTTGAGAATAACTGTTTCAGGTTGTTGTTGACCATTTGGCAAACTTGTGTTGGAGGACTGGAGTGGGAAAGGGACCCACAAGGGCCCTACACACTCTGCCATCCTAAAAATGTTTACTTAGAACAGTCTACAAAATTAATTGAAGTCTTGTGGTTTACCTTAATTCATTTGGATTTTGTGTTTTGGACATAATTGTATTTTTAACCTAAACTATATGCCCTTCTCACAAATCTCAGGATAAAATCAATACTCTACAAATAGAAGCTCTAGTTTTCATGTTTATGCTGAGGGTTCAAATACATCTGCCAGTGGTAGCCACCTTTCCTGCAGCCCCGAGAATCCAGGTTTGCAGAATCTGGATTCACGGTGCCAGCACTGCTCCCTCCTGGACCAGTTCCCGTTCTTCCTCTCAGGTGGCTTCCCTGGTAGGAGGCAGTCTCATGGCTCCTGCCTCTTCTCCCTTTCCAGCCATAATATCTGCGGGTTTTCTTCAAGGCTTTATATTCCCATGTACCACTGAGAAATCAACAACCATTAACAAAAATTATATACATGGGTAAGTTTCAAAAGTCTCAAAGTTATGAGAAAGGTTTTTTTTTTTTTTTGGATGAAATATAAATGAATTTAGATCCATGATTCTTAGCTTTTTTTACTCTCCAACTCAAGTTCATACTGGGGATGAAATCTTATTTTTCCCAAGACTAATGTTCTAGCTCTTCTCTCTTTCTGTAGTGTCCCCTGGGACCAGTGGCAGAACTGTAGCTTACACAGAGGCCTTAGTGAAGTCTATTGACATCTTTTTTCTTTTTTAAGATTTATTTATTTATTTGAAGGACAGAATTAGACAGGCAGATCTTTGATCTGCTGATTCACTCAAATGACCTCAATGGCCGGGGTTGGGCCAAGCCAGAGCCAGGAGCTTCATCGGCGTCTCCCACAGGAGTGCAGAGGCCCAAGCCCTTGGGCCATCCTCTGCTGCTTTCCCAGGCTCATTAGCAGGGAGCTGGATCGGGAGTCGAGCGGCAGGGGCTCCCATATGGGATTCCAGAACTGTGGCATAGCGGCTTCAGGCCCCATGCATTTACATCTTAGCACTCTCATATCCAGAAAGCTTTGCTTCCTTATAGCCTGCCATGTAGAAATACCAGACATAGGAGGGTCAGGGCTGCTGTGTTGAAAAATGAGCAAGTCCAAGAGGTTAAGTAGAGCAGGGAGGAAGAGTCATGTGTTCATTCATTCAGCACCTATGTATTGACCACCTCCCTGGGCCGGGTGGTCTGCCAAGGCAGAGGACATGAAGTTGAGACCCATTTCTGTCCTCCAGGATCTCAAGTCCAGTGCTAGTGACAGGTAAGTAAGAGGCCTTTATAACGGGGTGCTATTTGCTGAGTGAGAATACGGAAGAGCCCTGCACACTGTGGGTTAAGTGCTGTGGACCGTCGGGGAGACCGAAGGCAGCATCTGGGACCGCTTCTCCAAGGAAGGGAATGAGCTGGAGCTTGAGTATTGAGATAGAACCTGCAGGGTATTGAGACCAGGGGATGTGGCTAAGGAAAGCCAGACAAATTTGTGTTTCTGTTTATTGATACTTTTTTTCTTCTGTTTGCTGGATGAATTCATATTTTATTAACTGTCTGCTTTTTTTCTTTTAAAGAATTTTTATGTGATTTATTTGAAAGAGAGAAATCACTCATTCTCTGGTTTACTCCCTAAATGTCCACAAAACCAGGCCTGGGCTAGGCTGAACCAGGAGCCAGGAACTCAGTCTTGGTCTCCCGCATGGGGAGCAGGGACCAAAATCAGTGTGTCAGGACCTGCGGCCTCCCAGGGTGTGCATTAGCAGGAAGCTGGAATGGAGAACAGAGTCAGGACTTAAACCTAGGCATTCCAGTAAGGAATGCGAGTGTCCCGAGTGGTTGCTTAACCGCTGTACCAAATGCCTGCTGCTGTCAGCCTTTTTCTTCGATTTTTTTTAGTTTAAAAGTTTTGAGGTTGCTAACTTTGGCATAATATGAGCCAGAATGATAGTGAATTGAGTCAAAATTATTCTAGGTAAAAAGAATGTTCTATATATGCTTATGAAAAAGTCTATTGTCATAGTTTAAAATGGGAGTAATATAATTTCTATATTACTAGTTCTTTGTTCCATTTCCATTCAGATTGTTCTTTTATATTTGAAATCATTAAAATTAGAAAATGATTATGGTGAGTGTCTTTTGAAGCATCGAGCAAGCTAAGTAATAAGTCAAAACCTGCCAGTGTAAAGTAAATGCAATTATTTTGTTCTGCTAAATTGTAGCTTTGCTACAGTGAAAAGAATTGACAATTTATGAACTTGTCCAGGATCCCATTAAAATGAGGAAGACATTATTTACCAAGACAGTAATGATTCAGACTGCATTTAGGACAGGATGTTGGGGTTAATTTGCCTTCTTTTTCAAGCAATTAGTAGGCAGATGACATCTTTGCTATTGATAATTGCCTGGGACATTTTTCAGTGAAAGAGTGCCACCTACTGAACAAAGATTTTTCTTTTCCCCTCCTGTTGAGTTTGACTTTGAATTCTTAGTTTTTCTGACTGTCTGCTACAGTTGGCTCCAGTAGGTAGTTTATGCCTGACAATGTTCCCATCTTATGATGGATTAACCAGGGTCTCTGGGATTCTTAGAGGGAGCTGATACCTCCAAAACCAGGTGTAAAAACAAAATCTAAACATAAGCATGACTCACCTGTTTACAAGTCTCATTGCAGAGTACTTACTGGCTCAGAAGTCTGTGTGTGTGTTTGGTCTTAAGCTGTGTACATGAACTCTCAGTAGGAATAGGAGAGCAGATGCCTGGGCAGAAATGAACTAGTCTAAGGAATCATTGAGAGGAGTGGAAGAGCGCATAATATTGGCCTACTGGTTCTCCTGGGGATAATGCTAGTGGAGAGCTTGTTTGATTACAGCTTGGCCATTGGTCACTGAGAGGAATCCTGAGGTCAGGTTAAAATTCCGAAGACCTACTTCAGAGTAACTCCACTGGCGCTTTTTCAGTATATCTTAGCGATAATGTATTGTTTCATTGGCAAGAGGTTGAGAACATCAACACTAGCAAACATTCCGAACTAAGAATATTGTTTCAGAATTTTATATGGCCATTATTTTTAGTATATTGGCATACTTTTTGGTGTTAGCAGAATTTACATGAGGCATCGATCATCTCCAGCTTTTCTCTCTTATTGGACTATGCAAGTAGAAAGTCATGTTTTAAATTTAATTTTATTTTGAAAAGAGAGAGAGATGACCCATCCACAGATTCACTTCCCAAATGCCCATAGCAGCCAGGGGTGGGCCAGGCTGAAGCAAGGGACCAGAAATTGAATCCAGGTCTCCCATGTGGTGACAGGGACCCAAATTCATGAGCCATCAGCTGCTGCCTACCAGAGTACACATTATCAGCAAGACACTTTGATGTGGAATGTGGGCAGCCCAAGAGGTGTCCTAACCACTGTATTAAACACCTACCTCCAGGGAGATAGACTGTATGCTGAATTGATTTATGCTTGCTGATATAGATACATAGATAGATTAATCCCATATGGAATAATCTATATCAAGATTCTGAGGTGAGAAATAAAAATCTATAAGGTAAGATGTTAGAATTCATTCCACATGTCCTTTTCTGTAGTGGGTATTGTGGCACAGTGAGTTAGGCCACCAGCTGGGACGCCTGCATCCCATATCAGAACACCAGTTCAAGTCCTGGCTGTTTTCCCATCTAGCTCCCTACTAATGCTCCTGGGAGGCAGCAGATCATGGCCTAACTACGTGGGTCCCTGCCCCCCACTTAGGACACCCAAATGGAGTCTCATGGGTTCTGGGTTCTGAGTTCTGGCTTCAGCGTGATCCAGGGAAAAGAAATGGACAGTTTATGAACATTTGAAAGCATTGGGAGCTACTGGGTGATGGGAATGGCAAAGAATACTCTGTACAAATAAAGCACTGGGAGGTGCTCTCCAGATTGCACAGCTGAAGGGTGTCTGTGGGCCCAGTCCTGATCCTGCATCTCCCTGGCGGGAAGATTGCATTTATACCTAGACAGCAGCGCTAGTAAAGGAATCGTGATGTTCACACCAGCCAGCCCTAAACTGTCATCTTGGATCTTGATCCGGTTTTATAGGTTTTTTTGGTCCCCAAAGCTTTGTGAATTACTTAAGGTCACGTTGCAGGTTAATGGCACAGTCAGGATTTGACCTGGAGTTTCCAGACCCCAAACCTGACTATTTTTCTTTAGTTCCATGAAACTCCTACAACATAGAGTAGTATTCAGTGGCATGACTTTATTTTTAAGGAAATATTTCAAGCATACAGAAAAATACAAAAGGATTATACTAGAGAACAGAGTAATGAACAGATGTAGAACCTTTATCTGTATGTAATAAATGCTTTTGTTTTATCATACTTGCTGTAGTTGGGCTGTGTGCATATGTTTAAAAGAAATTAACACTAAAAAACAATTGAAGCCTCCTGTGTCCTCTGTCCTCCCTTCCCACCCTCTGTAGTCAACATTGTTACCCTCTGAAACCGCAAGAAATGGTTGTATTTGCTGCTGCCATGTGTTTTTCAGATAACATCACTAAAAGAAATTATGAAGCATTAGGGTGGGGAGAGGAAGGGCAAGGGTTTTGAAGCCAGAAAGACCTAGTTTACAAATCCAGAAATCCCATTTACTGTGGGTAATCAAGCCGCTTAAGCCTTCTGTGAGCATTTCTCAGAGCCTGATCACACTAAAGGCACGCTGAACTTTGTGGTAGCTGAAGAAGTCTTGTATTGAGATGCTGAGACTGCTGGTGGTGTTTTCTTCTCTGGATTTTTCTTAGTTGTATCGACTCACTGGAGTCCGTTTGTAGAAATGATCAGCAGGATTTCTTCAGTGTGTTCCAAGGAGCACAGCGTCCTCCAGGGTGTTCTGCTACAAGGCAGGGGACTTGCATGCCAACAGTGTGGAGAATCAAAACGCCCTTCAGTCTTACAGAGTCTCTGAGGTTTCCTAGGATAGGTAAACCTGACTACATTGTCTCTAGTGTTTCCTAATCTGCAGAATCTTAAGAAGGTTAGTGTGAAAGGGCAGTTTTTTGGCCAAAGCTACCATGCTAAGCAGAGATGACCTTGTGTTTTGTTGCTTCTGCTGTGGTGTCCGCTCTGCAGGGATCAGAACCTTCTGTCTCTTTATTCTCCCTTGCCTTGCCCAGTGTTTGTACATGCTAGCCGTGCCCACGTTCATTGAATCGAGTGGTTTGCTAGCGTCAGAAGCGGAGAGATGAAAAGCTGCAGTTGTCAGAAGGACGTTCTTCCTCATGCTTTTCACCAGCAAGAAGCAAGCAGTAATAATTCCAGTTGTTCCATGGGGTGGACGGAAACCATTCCCCTAGCAGAGACTTTGTATTCTTACTCAGCACTGTCACCACTGCCCCATTTCAGAACAGTACAAACAATTTAAGGGTTTTATTAATATAAAGGTACTCAGAATGTTAAAAATTTAACTTCTTTAAAGATTTAACTACTACTCTTAAAATGAGAACACACACACCCTGGGTACTGGTCTTGTTCTTTTGACCCGACTTCAATTCTGAGCCTGGACTACCACATTTCTTGAAAGATCATTGATAGAGTTGAATGTCACACACCTGTTCGGAGAAAGTACCAAAAAAAAAAAAAAAAAAACATAGTCCAGGGCCTCTGTGTAAGTAACTTGGATCTTTTTGATGAAAACTGAATTGTGAAGGGACAGCCCTGGTTTTGCAGATGGCTGCACTGTGCTGCACACTCCTGTTCCAGGGTCCTTCCGGGACGGCACAGCACATGGCCTTGCTGAGAACGGCCCCACAGTGGTGAGGTAGGAAGTGCCAGTGTGCTTCAGTAGAGTAGTGTGGTCTCAGTAGGTTTATGCATCACTGTCTTGTAAACACTTCCTAGGTTTGTCTAGGGCACAGAAGGGGAATTCTTGAAAGGAAATACACATTAGACAAATATTGTTTTAGAAAAAAAGATCATCTTTTTTGCTTGCTGATCTGTGTTCAACATTTAAGGAAGAGGATGCTCACAGCATCCCACTTTTCCTCCAAAGGGTTCTTTTAAAGGATTTTTGTCAAGTGTCAAGGACACAACAAAGGAAGGAATAAACAGTGGAATTTTTAGCACTGAATATAAAAAAATACAAGCTTTACAGGTTTTTGTTGGAAAGGGACAAATGGAAAATGGTCCCAAATTGATCTTAAACTCCATCTGGAACCACTGGCTCTCAGAAAATAGTTGACGTTACCGGTTGGATTTTCTAAGTGGTGGAGTGGAAGAGACCAGTGTGACTGCTTCCCTTGGACACAAGGCTGTGGAAGAGTATTACTGAGGCGCTGTTACAGAAGCGACTACTTTGATGAGTGAGATACAGGTAGTTTTGGAAACTATTTAGTAACTTTCAGAGAGAGCCAGCAACTTTACAGTTCCTTTATTTTGCCTGTCCTTTCTTTTGCAGCACTGTTTTTCTGTTAAGGTCTTCATGTATTTTGTGAGATGATTCTTAGAAAATCTACCAGACTCATAATTTTGTCCAGTTCTGATCATTTTTTACAGTTTCCACTTACCTACCTGAATATCACCAACAAATTTAGTAATGAGTGCTTTTCATGAAACTTGAGTCTTGGGTCACTGTCACGCTAACCCACGCTGGCCTCACTTGACCCCGAGCACAGACAAGGGCTGCTAACTCGGAAACCTGCCTGCCCTCGATGGCCCTCAGCTTCTGCTGCTGCTCCTCAGCTGCTTTTGAAAGAGAGTTTATCTGACCTCAGCTCGCTGGTGTTCCAGGGTTCTCATTTCCTTACCAGTCTAACTCCATGACTTATTTGATTCTCTTATCTTTAGGATTTTCTTGAATTCTTATAAATTTAAAGAGTATTGCATAGTCTTGGGTCTGCCCAACTCACTTCCGCCCCACCCCCAGGTCTGGCACATGTTGCGTTGCCTGGGTCCTCTTCTCTTCTTCAAGTTGAAGCTTCTGTTACAGTTTGACATTTTTCTCAGCCAGCCAGCACATATTGCTTCCATGGCTTGACAAAGTGCACATAGTTGGTATCATTCTTAAATAAATTTGTTGAGTTTCATGCTTATGTTTTAGCACATTTGGAAGGAAGAATTATTCTTTCTCCAGATTTGAGTGGAACATAGCATTTCCATTATTGAGTGATGTCATTAGTACTTGAATGTGATGGTCTTGATGGAGTATGCCAGCCAGACACAGGTGTACCAAGGAAGCACACTAACCAAGCTTGGACATTCCTCTGGGTCTAGGCAGGTATAATGAGTGATTTAGAAAATCTTTTTGCACTGTATCTTTTTCTTGTTTTATCTGAGTTTGAGCCATATGGACTAACGGCCCCTTTGTTTGATACTTAAACCTGTCCATCTGAAAGGCTAGCCTTGGTGTATTATTTTAAATGTGTCAATAACTTTATAAGCTGTTGAAGTAACATCCAAAATGTTTGTATGTTCATTCTAGTATACTGACTTATCCTCAAGGCAATTTTAATCCAATTCCTGTTTCAGTATTCCTTGTGAATATCTACGATCAGCAAAGATGCCTTTGAATCATAAAATTCTTCAGTAGAGTTCAACAAAAATTCATAAAAGGAGACAAACTTAGAATCTTTTTCTTCATTTAATGTATCCTCTACCTCATAACACAGGCTGAGTATTCCTGATCCCATATCAGAAGTGCTTTGGACTTCATTTTTTTGTTCAGATTTTGGAATATTTGCATATACATAATGAGACACCACAGAGATGGGATCCAAGTTTAAATACAAAATTAATTTATGTTTCACATCCACCTTACACCTGTAGTCTGATGGTCAGTTTACACAGTATTGTTAGTGTGCCTGCATTTTCACTGTGATCAATCATCCAAGGTCAGGTGTGGCATTTTCTGCTGTGGTATCATGTTGGCATGCAAGAAATTTGTAGGGGTTTTAAAGTGCCTCAGGCTTCAGACTTTCAGATTACAGCTGCTCAATCTATAGGACCCTACTCTGCAGTTGTATTTTATGCGCACATTATTTGATAGTTTTAATTGGCCTGAAATTTGTAGCACAGAGTTTGAATTCCCAGTGATAGTTTCCTCAGCCATCTCTTAGTTTATTCATTGTTCTGTAGAAGTACTAGTTGCTTTAGAACATGCAGTATAGGAGAACCATACAGTTTTCTTTCTGTTTCAACTTGTCTTCTCAAAAGGGAGCCTGGGACATGTAGTTTGCCCCATAATCTAGATCAAAGATAATTGAATAAAAAAAGATCTAAACTTGCCTACCTTGAAGAATGATTTGATACTGACTGGTAACAATCTGCGCCATTTGTAAATCCCCTATTCTTAATTGGCATAGTTGTTAAAAGAATCTTTTAAAAGATTTATTTATTTACTTGAAAGAGTTTTGGGGGTGCCGTGGGGGTAGCGATCTTCCATCCTCTGGTTCACTCCCCAGATGGCCACAATAGCCAGGGCTGGGCCAGGCTGAAACCAGGAGCTTCTTCTGGGTCTCCCATGTGGGTGCAGGGGTCCAAGAACTTGGGTCATCTAATGCTACTTTCCCGGGCACATTAGCGAGCACCTGGATTGGAAGCAGAACATCTGGAACACAAACCAGTGCCCATATGGAATGCTGATGTCTCAGGCTGCTTTACTTGCTAGACCACAGCACCGGCTCCTAAAACAGTCTTACAAATTACTAATTTAGAAATAGGGAAACCTTTCGTATCTCCTTCCTGTTCTCTTTGAGATTGTTTACACGTCCCCGAAGGCACTAATTTGTGGTGGGGGTTGCAGGCTGTTAAAGGCCGTGTGTTGCCATCACGTGTAAAATCCCAGCATCTTATGGTGTCATTTTCTAGGTCTGTGTCAAGTACAAATGACAGCAGCTGCTGGCACCTGCAGTTGTGTGTGCTGGGCTGGGAGCTGCAGGACCGGAAAGGAAAGGACATACACTGAGGGAACCAACCCTTTCCTTGTCTAGGTCAGCTGGGTGGAGGTATTTGCAATATGAGTGTCCCTTGTTTGGATTTGGTTTTGGTTAGTTCAATGCATAGTCTATATGTTTCTGTATCATGTTGTTTTTCAAATACAACTTTTCAAATTCTTGTAGTTCTTGCTAGTGAATATTTCTAATTTAAAACTTGAATGGTATTTTAATAGAAACTAATCCACAATTCCAGATAAAAGGATTTATAGGATGTGTGTGGTTATTTAGAATATTCTATAAACGTGAATCAATCAGAATCACTGAGGTGTTTTTAAACTGCTGGTGTTCATGGTTTATAATCAGTCACATTACTTTGTTATTTGGCTTCCATATTATTTAACTGTTGATGTAATCAGAGCACGAGTTTTTTCAAAAGGTAAATTCTGTACCTGTATCTGTCAAGGAACCAAATAGAGAGGTTTGCACACAATACTGGAAATAACACACACACGTACACACCCATAAAATGATTTCTGATAGAGTTTAGCATATTATAAAACTGAATGATAGTATGGCCATACTCAGACTAAGAAATCAGTTGTTACATTCAAGAGAGGGTGGTTATATGGGGAAAAGGTAGTACTTGCTTTTCCTTTTCACTGTAAATTCATAACACATATGCTGCATGGAGTTTTCAGAATCAAACATTGCCGAGTATAGCCTGGAATGAAATCTTCTTGGAATTGATTTTCATAATGTGAGCCATTTGTATACACGGTTACTTCTTTTGTAACCTTGGTTGTGTTGTAAAAACTGCATTGTCTAAAGATGGAAGGTTATTTAATCTTTCTTGCCAGAAGATAGGGTATCTTCAGAAAAACTGTTTTCTGGGAAACAGAATTGTACCAGTATTGGGATACAGATATTTCAGTTTTGTGTTTGCTTGCATATACATCAGATACAGGGCAACAAATTTTAATTTTAAGCACTTAAAATGTTCATTTTCCTATTCCCCTATAGGAGTCACTTGTATCTGAGTTTAACTTCTGCATTTTTTTAATATTCAGACTGTATCCCCTTGAACTTGTAATTTAACCTCTCCCTTGTCCTTTTTCTCATCTATAAGATGGGATAGTAACAGTCTTACCCCATGAGAAATGGCTGAGCTAATCCCTGTGGAGCTGCTAGTGCACTGCCCCTTGGGTGGGAAGGAAGCATTAGCCTCTCTGCTTCATCCCTTTGACTCTATCCTCACCCAAGGCATTCCTTCTCTTGTCCTTTCCCGGAAACTCACATTTTGAGGATCTCGCGCTGGACTTGCTCTCATCTCTCGCAAAGCATGTGAGTTTGAAGGGCTCTGCAGCCCCACCAGTGTGAGTACTTCGCAGTGGACTGCAGTTGGGTGAATTCCGCCTGTCCCAGGCCATGCAGTGTGTTTTCCAGGGTTCTTCAAGATTCCTTAGACACCAATAGTTCCAGATTTGCTCTATGTAGTGTTATTTAGAGTAACCTAACCGTTACAGAGGTCTTTATTTATGCTAAGGTTAAGTCCCATTGTTTCCAGGAAGGTTTTGTATGACCTTTATAGTGTTAGTTCCTTCTGTTACTATGAACTACACTACTAAGGAGCAGAATTACTGTGCTTCCTAAGTCTCACTGTGAACCTCCATGAAGCTGGTTTGTATCGGCAGCGTAGCTACCTGAGTGCTAACCGGTGAATCTGATTCAGGTTGTTGCGGCGCTGCTTTAGGGTCAGTCCTGCTGGGACAGGGGCTGGGGCTGGGTCCTGCTCCTCGCTTACCAACTGTGTGGCCCTCATTGGGACCCAGTCCCTCTAAGCCTCAGATGGCAGCCACCTTGCAGGGTTGCTGGGAGGCTGAAGTAAGTTAATACACATGTAGCGCCTAGCACCCTGTTGAGCATGTGATGTTAACTTGTGCTGTTACGACACAGCCTGGAAGTTATGGCTCCATAGCACTGCTTGTTGATTAGCATATTGCTCCATTGTAATGGTGAACCCTGCCACAGGTAACTGAAGAAATCATAGTGGACTTGGGAGGCACTATTTTTGCTATTTACCGAGTGTCCCCTGAGTGCCAGGCACTGAGCAGGACCAGTGTTTCAATTGGGCTCCTCAGGCTTTCAGAGAACAGAGACGTGTTTATTTCTTTGCAAAGTAAAGAATCCATGAAGAAGTTTTTTATTTTCTATTTTTTAAAAGATTTATTTATTTATTTATTTGAAAGTCAGAGTTACACAGAGAGAGGAGAGGCAGAGAGAGAGAAAGAAAGAGGGGTCCTCCATCTGATGGTTCACTCCCCAATTGGCCACAACGGCCAGAGCTGCGCTGATCCGAAGCCAGGAGCCAGGAGCTTCTTCCGGGTCTCCCATGCGGGTGCAGGGGCTCAAGGACTTGGGCCATCCTCCACTGCTTTCCCAGCCCATAGCAGAGAGCTGGATTGGAAGTGGAGCAGCCAGTACTCGAACCAGCACCCATATGGGAATGTGGTGCCCCAGGCCAGGGTGTTAACCCGCTGTGCCAGTTCACTGCAGCACACAGGCAACCCCTGGAGAACTAGTTACTCATCACCCAGAGCAGTATAGAAGTTACCAGACAGTATCTCACAGCACATGGAGGGGCCCAGGTATCGCTCTCATGTTTACTTTTATTGGTTATTCCCTCTGTAAGTTCATCTATTTCTGATTAATTTCTTTTCTCCCTTACTTCTGTCTCACTGCTTCTGCTTTTTGCCTTGTTATCTCTCTGTTTACATGCCTTGCTTGCTGCAGTGATAGGATGCATGTATCTTGCAGTCAGACTCCCAGAGAGAGAAAATCTGATTCAGATGTCTGGTACCAGTATAGTCTTTGGACCAACCTCATGTGGACAGCAGGGTGGGTTCAATGTAGAAACCGTGGCACCCTCAGCATCACAGCCCACCTTCAGACGGGAGGGCTGTGGCTGGGTGGGCCTTCATGCATCCTGACCAGAACACTGGGTTAGGTGCCTTTTGTGGCCTGTCCAGGACCATTTGGCATTAATGGTAGAAAAGTGAATAAAATATACCTGTACTGGAAGAGCTCATGACGTGATGAAACAGAAACATGCTTAAGCTTTTTTTTTTTCTTTTGCCATATGACAGTTAATACTTAGCATGCCAGGAAGGTTTAGCTAACTGCCATAGAATGGTGATAGGGATTCTTTATTGACAGCATGATGATGACAAAGGGTATTTCTAGTGAAGAAAATAAATCTGCACAGTGTCAAATATCTTGGTGTGCTTAGTATTTGCTGTGGGAAGAGGGCAGGAGTTAGCTTTTAAGGGGCTTCAGGAATAGGGTCTAGGTTATGGTACTGTGACCTTTTTAGGAAGATGATCATACCCAGAACTAAAAGGAAGCAAACTCGTAGAAGAATCAGCAGTGACTCGACCAGGTCAGATGAAGGGAAGACCATGTGGCTTCCCTGAGAAGGGCCATTGCGGCATCTCAGGTTTTCACAGGTGAACTCTCCAGGTTGAGAAGGTGTCCAAGACTAGAAACCTAACCTCAGGGGAGAAAGGATCCTTGAAGCTCTAAGTCAACCAGAAATCCACTCGCAGAAATCCACTTGGATATGTGTTTTGGATATCCCCAAAACAGCAGGAAGCCTCATGTTAGCTAAATAAACAGGAAAGGAAGCTAAAGCCTCATCTGTAGCAGTATTTTAGTTTCTGATTTTAGCTAGCTCAGATTGTATTTGCCTATTTTTTAAATCTTGAAGGTAGTTTTCTCAAAGCATGCTATGTTGCTAAAATCTCTTCTTTGTAAAAGTCAAATATATGAGCTATTATTTTAGTTAAACTAGCAGGTATTTTTCTAGTCGTGGACAAGGCAAAAATAATGCCCAAATATTGGTGTTTAAACCAAGGTAAATTAGATGTGGCTGGCATCACCAGGGACTTTGCAGCTGTTTAATTTTGTTTAAAAAAAAAAAAAAAAACAGATTTTTTTCCCCTTGCTATTGCTCTGATATTAATTGAATCATTAATCAATGTATATATACATGCATGCATGTCTGGTAAATATCAAAATCATATACATAAGTGTGTATATGTGTGTATATATATAATATGTTAGGATTATAACAAAATAAGCAAGGATGTAATAAAAATTTGTTTTTTTTCCCATTTGATTTCCATTTCAGAGACAAATGAAACTGAGTAGGTGTAATTTAATTTCTTCCTGGCAGGTAGAATAGGATTTACTGTATATTTCATTGGTTCTAAAATCCCTGTGGCTGTAAATTGTATCATTATTTTATATACCATGAAAAAAGTGGGGAAAACATGCCAATTAAATTACAATAACATTTGATTGTAAGTGGCATTAAAATTTCAGATATTAAAATGTGGAAATTATATTTTAAGATTAGTGATATGTAATTATTACTGATTATAAGAGACATTCAGATTTCAGGCATTAGATGTGGGTAAAATAAATTTTAAAATTAAAAGATAATTTTGAAGACGCGAGGAAGAACTCTGGTTTATATTTGCAGATTAATTCAGAAACAATGAAAATGTTTTATTGAAATTAATGAAATACAGAACTATGGAAAGATTCATTAACATTAGTAGTCATTAAACTTTAAAACCAAGAAGGTGCTTGGGATTGCCAAAGCTGATCATAAGTGATCGTTCACGTATAACGTGTGTGTTAGTGTCTGTTTTGAGTCACATGTGGTTAGATATGAGGTTTACGGACAAATAAAGCTTGTGGGCCCTGCCCTCCCTCGTGGAGCTCAGCGTTCATGGTGGGGGTGGTGGTCGGCAGTGCTCCTGAGCACTGGGAGAAGAGACAAGCGCTGTGAAGAGCTGAACTGGGAGTTCTCCTGTGGACTGAGAAGGACTCAGGCCTTGAGGAGAGAGAGGTCTTGTGGGTGGAAAGACCCAGGAGAAAGGGTGCGGAGTAGGAAACAGCCTGTGCCGGGGGAGAGGTCTTGGAGCCTCTGAGGCCTTGTTGAAGCAGAGGGTGAGGTGCGGCCTGGTTGGCAGGAGCTGAAGTGAGACCAGACCGTGCAGGGCTTCCTGGGTTGTGCTGAACACTGGGCTGTTAGTCCAAGCCTGGGGGAAGCCCGCTGGCCGGTTTTAATGAGGAAGTGACCCTGTGAGGAAATCTCCGTAGGATCCTGTGGCTGGTCCAGACCAGGTCAGTCAGCTACTTGCTCTGGACGTTGTGAGGGAAGGTAACATTTTCTTGAATACAGACATGAAATTGCTCAAAAGTTTTAGATTTTGGATTTTCCAGTTAGGATGCTTAACTAGTATGCAAATGATCTTTTCCAAAATTCAAAATAGCTGTAAGATCTGAAACATTTCTATTTCTGGCCCCAAGGAGTCCAGAGAAAGGATATTAAACCAGTATCAACGTACCATCAAAAAGCCTTAATTTGGGCCGGCGCCATGGCTCACTAGGTTAATCCTCCGCCTGTGGCGCTGGCACCCCAAGTTCTAGTCCAGGTCGGGGCGCCGGATTCTGTCCCGGTTGGCCCTCTTCCAGGCCAGCTCTCTGCTATGGCCCGGGAGTGCAGTGGAGGATGGCCCAAGTGCTTGGGCCCTGCACCCACATGGGAGAGCAGCAGAAGCACCTGGCTCCTGCCTTCAGATCAGCGTGGTGCGCCGGTCGCAGCGCGCCAGACATAGCGGCCATTGGGGGTGGTGAACCAACGGAAAAGGAAGACCTTTCTCTCTGTCTCTCTCTCTCTCACTGTCCACTCTGCCTGTCAAAAAATAAATTAATTAATTAATTTAAAAAAGCCTTAATTTGTACATTTTGGCCCAGCAGTGTTTCTGGGCATTTATTTTAAAGAAAAGATCTCAGATGTGTTCAGCTACTAGTACATTCTTCCTTACTGATTATAATAAGAAATTGGTTTAAATGATTATAATATTTTCAAACAAATAGAAAGGAAATGCAAATCCTGCAGATTTCAAGAGGGCCCCTTCATCCTAGACAGTTTATTTACATGAGAAGAGTCCTCTGTGTATTTGGGTAGGCTCTAGGAAGAGAGATACTGAAAATGCAAAGCAGAGGCAAGATGTTTGAGGGAAGAGACAGGTCTAGGGCCAGAAGGTGGGAGATGACCACCTTTGTTAGGTAGTGTGGGTAGCGCTTGTTTTTTGAGAGCCCCCTGGGAGCCTAACCACACCTCACAGAATTGGTACTGAAGGAAAGATTGCTTGCTGTTCAATCCACAGGTGAACTATGGTGTGCAGTCAGCCTGAGACTTGGTTCCCTCTAAATCTGAGCCATCCTGAGGACTTGTGGATGGAGCAGGATGGATTTGGGGGAAAACATTCTCCACTTCCATCCCCCCTCTGTACCTCAGTGTTCTTCACGCCCCCACCCAGCCACCTCTTCCCCTGCTTGCTGCACTCAACTCTGCCTTCTCTTGTCTCCTTCCTCTTTTCCCTTCCTTCCCTCATGCTTCCTCTGCCTATACTGCTGATATTCATGTTTTATAATATAATCAGAGCACGGAAAACCACCAACCATTTCAAGTAAATGAAATAGTCTTTGTTTCTTTTTTTTTTCCCCCATCTCATATTGCTTCTTCCTAGGTGACAGCTTTTACATCTGTGTGGTACTTCAATTTTCAAGGTTCAGATCAAATGTTGTTGCTAGTTGTATTCCTTAAAACACCTAGACCAGTCCCTGGCACAGGTGTTTAATCTCCGACAGTATCAATGCTTCTGTGAAACCTGGACTGCTTTCTGTCCTTAGTTTTAAGTTGATGTTTTGCTGCTTCTCTGAAGATTTTGCTTCGAAGCTTTGATTAGCTGAAAAGTCCTAGAGGAGTCTGAACTACATTTTAGTAAGCTCAAGGTTATCGTCTCTGGTATTTCCTTTTCCTGGCAGTGGAGGAAAATCATTTTTCTTTAGCTTTATACACTTTCCAGAATCATTGTCGAAGATTAGCTTGGTATTTTAAAAATCATTATTTCTTCCACAGTAAAATTTTCCTTAGGAAATGAACCATGTTTTAAAAACCACACATATTGTGGTGGGTGTGTACATACGTCTGCAGATGGATATAAATATATTTTGAAGTTGGTCATTTTCCTAGGCATGCTTTACCTGTTAGACTTTGTAGAATTAATTTTCACAAGTTCTTAGAGATTGTTTTATTCCACTAACAAAGTAACAAAGTTACAATGTTTGTTCCAGGTGACTTTCACTCTGTAGATATGGAGTACCCCAAATACTTAGATATGGAGTACCCCAAATACTTAATGAATTGTTGGTCTAGGAAAATGCAAGTTTAATCATTTAGGCTTTGAAAAATTATTTCAGGACCATAAAAGACATAGTTGCGTTTCACCTACCCTATTAAATATTTAACTCATTTCAGAAAATAAGCATCCCTGCCAGACTCTGTCTGTACTGATTGATGTTTCTGGAAATTCTGGGAGTTCAGGATCATAATACAGCCTCCTAAATACTTGTCTGATGTAGACGTGGTGGCATTAGAAGCCATGCAGTCCTCATGAATGTGTTTGTTGATATAGTGCTTAATGTCTGGGATCCATCTTGTTAGCTGCCCAGGAGCAGAAAGAGTCGCTGTGAATGTTGCCAGTAAGCCTGCAGTTTCTAAATAGAACTCTTCTTTTATAAGGCATGGTTGTCAGACAATGTTTAGCACTACCTGCTTTATAATAGTTTTACAATAATGTTAGTATACAGTTCACAATACTTTTATAACTTTCGTGACCCATTTGGCGTTTTCATCTGTTATCTTTTAAAAAACCATTTATTTATTTATTTGAAAGGCGAGTTACAGAGAGGGAGAGGCGGAGGCAGAGAGAGAGAGAGATCTTTCATCCACTGGTTCATTCCCCAAATAGCCACAACAGCCAGGGCTGGGCCAGACTGGATCCAGGAGCTTCATCCAGGTCTCCCATGTGGGTGCAGGGGCCCAAGCACTCACTTGGGCCATTCTCTGTCACTTTCCTAGACACATTAACAGAGAGCTGGAACAGCCAGGACTCAAGCCAGTACCCATATGGGATGCCAGTGTTGCAAGCAGTGGCATAACCACTAAGCCATAATGCTCACCCCTCTGTTATCTTTCTGATTCCGTGTCCGTTGACAATGCAAAACAATCCACAGGGTTGTTTGTCCTAGAAAGTGACTTCTTGTATATAAATTTCTCATTCTCCTTCTTTCTCTTTCCATTCTAGTCGCGAGATGGAGAATAAAGAAACTCTCAAAGGGCTACACAAGATGGATGATCGCCCAGAAGAGCGGATGATCAGGGAGAAACTGAAGGCAACATGCATGCCGGCCTGGAAGCACGAGTGGCTGGAAAGGAGAAATAGGAGAGGCCCTGTGGTGAGTGGCGGGGGTTACCTGCTCTGAGGAAGTGGAAAACTAAGCATGACTATATCCCTTGTAAGCTTTGCTTCCACTAAGTTTTAAGTGCAATAATTTTATTTGCTTGGTAGGCTGAGCACTTGGAATAAATCATAGTTAAAACTGTGCTTATTTAGTGACTTAAACAGTTCTAGGAACTTACCTGGCGGAGGGCTGAATGCTTGAAGCAGCACTGCCCTCTAATGTTGGCGTCTAAAACCTTGTGTTGGTTTTACATTGTACTTCATTCTAACTTAAAACAATCTTACAATCGATTTTAGATGCTTGATCTCTAGGATAGGCTCCAAGAGCTCTTAGTTCCGGAAATCTTACAGGAAAGCAGAAAATAAACCCATGAGGTGGAAGATGAGTTAAACAGCTGTAAGATTTGCCGGAAGAAAACCTAAATTCCTGGATTAGGCAAGGCGGAGAAGTTCCAGCCTCTGCCCTGGTGATCCTGTTGTGAAATGGGCTTCGCTGCTCTCACTGGGAGGAGAGGTCCCAGTCGTTCCAGTGTATCACCTCTGCAAGCTGAGACAGCAGCTTGATTCATCTGTACTTTGGCAGTGTAAACTACACCCCTGCCATGTGATCACCTCACCCCACACCCGTCCCATGCACCTGTGTGAGTTTAGGTGTAAATTAACGAAGCATGTGAAGATGTGGCTCCTCAGTCGCACTAGCCACGTTCCCGATGCTCCGTGTACTGGCTGATGGCACCTCTCAGGCAGTGCGATAGAACATTTCTGTCGTCTTAAAAAGTGTTAGTTAGGGGTCTGGCGCTAACTAGGATCTGCTTAAGTATCTCAGAACACACTGAGGCTTTGGATACCCCATCGTCATTGAGCTGCAGTCTGTTAGGTATATTCTTACCCTCCCACCACTTGTAAGTCTAACCTGTGGAACTGCTCAGCTGCATGGACCTTGACTCCTGTCCTTTCCATTTACCCCTAACATGAGGTAATAGGATGGGGATGCTTCGCCATTTTAGCTGTTCACGTCAGAAGATAAAGCGGAGTCAAGGATTTGTCTTGGAAAAGGGAGCGTTCTGTTGAAACATCTTGAAGATGATGGCAGTTGGAGAGGCGTATAGTCCCACTCGGTCAACATAAGGAAGCTGTCTGAAGTAGAAACATGCTGCTTTCTGAGCTCTGAGCCAGAGGTGTTCACACAGAGCCTAACTCTTGAGAATACCGTACAGCAGAGATCACAGCTGTCCAAAGAGGAACCTTCCTTACACATGAACTAAGAATACCCAGTTTTCAAAGACCAACTTTTGGTTTGCCTCAGGCTCCACTTTGTGGCAAATACCGAAGTACCCTGCCTGTGTGTAGGATAGAAGTGAAAAGACATGTAGGATAAGACACATAGCACATAGTTCTCAAGAGTAACCACACCACCCTACATTGATGGTTTACAGTCTCAGATTATCCTTGGGAAACTTACTGTCTGCTTGGGATGTCTGATTTTGTTTGTTTTTGTTATCTTATATGTAAGCTGCTTGATGTTCTTCTTGAAATATAATAAATAAGGTGGAAACATCTCCAGATGGTACAATAAATAAAAACAGAGTAATGGCATGACATACCATAAAGCAATCTGTGACCAGGTACAAATGCGTGGGGTGGACAAAAGAGTGGGGGGGGGCTCAGGAGAGAGAGAGTGTCAGTGGTGGTGGGGGTGGGAGTGGGGCTTTCACTCAGCCTTAGAAGACAGGCCGAGTTTGTCCCACAAGAGTGGGCTGCCCAGGTGCTGCTGGCTGGAGATGTGGAGTGGGAGGGAGTGTGGGAATGCCACGAGAGGAGGGAAGGTTAGCGCGTTTGGTGGGCACAGCGGCTGCTGTTGAGCAAATGATTCTATACTCATCAGCCAGAGGAGCACTTAAAATTATGCCCAGTATTGTTTTCAAGATCCTGAATTTTTTCAAAGCAGATTTTAAAAAATCTTCAGTCTGGAATTGAGTAAATTAGTGTAGAAGTTGTAAGTCCTCCTTTTTCCATATTTGCTTACTAACTTTTCATTGTTGATTTTGAATGTTAAGTAAGTTAGGGCCTATAGCACTACTTATAAAATTTGATAGGATAACAATTTTAATTGTAATCCCTACATGAATGAAATTTATGTAGTAAAAAAAGAGTCTTTAACTTCATAGCTTTAAAGTAATAACAAATAAAAGTTGTTCTGTGACTGTATATTTCATAATAAAAAGCTCATTAAATTCATTTCTTAGCATTTACTTGTCTGTTACATTTTTAAGTAATAAAAATATTGGGACACTTTCATTACAGGTGGTAAAACCAATCCCTATTAAAGGAGATGGATCCGAAATGAGTAACTTGGCCGCTGAATGTCAAGGAGAGGGCCAGGTGGGCGCTGCGTCTCCAGCCCCCAAAGGCCGGCGCAGCCCGTCTCCCAGCAGCTCCCCTTCAGGTCGCATAGTGAAATCCGAATCGCCAGGAGTAAGGAGAAAAAGAGTTTCTCCGGTGCCTGTAAGTTGCTTCCGCAGATCGGTCGTTTTCAGGCTCATTCGTAGCACAGAAGAGATTGGCCTGCTGTGTGTTGTTAGAACAGCCAACCTCCCAGCGCAGACACCTAGAGGGCATGAGGTTCCAGGAATCCTTTCTAGCAGTCCACTAGGTCAGGACTGACTTTCTGATAAAACTGAGAAGTTGTTTATGTCTTTCCCTGCATTGATGTTTGCAGGGAAATGATGGATAGAGCTCCTGCTGATTCCTCTGCCCAAATTAGAGCTGTGGCAATAGAAATTGTATGTTTCATTGCTGTATATTGGCCATTAGAGAAGAAAAAGCCCATTTCATTTCGTCAGAATGCCTTTGATGAAGGAATAGAAATGAATTTTATTAAATCAGCCCTTGTTTAAATACACGCCTGTGTGATATTCTGTGATGAAATGGGAAACGTACATAAAACAGTAGTTGTCTCATGTTAAAAATATTTGTGTAGTTAGAGTTTCAGAGCAAAAATTCAGATTTTAGAAAACTTATCTATACCACAGTGACTGTGACAGTTTCTCAATACTTAGACTTTGTAATGAGATTGGTGATGTCAAATGTAATTTTTTATACTCTCTCTCACTCTCTCACTCTGCCTTTCAAATAAATACATAAATCCTTGAAAGATTCCTTTTAATATCTATGTGAGATTTTTTTGGGTACTTGAATCAAAACATCCTATCACAGCAGACTGAATGCAGAAGCAGCTGTGAGAATCTTGCTGTTTTCTGTATTAAGCCAGACAACAAAGAAATTTGTAAAAAGGTAAAAGACTCTAATGGTGAACTGCATGTTTTGTTTTGTTTTAAGATTTATTTATTTGAAAGAGTTACAGAGGGAGAAACAGAGTGAGTGAGCTTAGGTCTGCTGATTCACTCCCGTAATGGCCACAGTGGCCAGAGCTGGGCCAATCTGAAGCCAGGAGCTTCCTCTGGGTCTCCTGTGTGGGTGCAGGGGCCCCAGTACCTGGGCCATCTTCCCCTTTCCCAGGTGCATTAGCAGGGAATGGATCGGCAGTGGAGCAGCTGGGACTCGGAGAACTGGCACGCATATAGGATGCCAGCATTGCAGACAGAAGCTTAACCTGCTGCACCATAGTGCCAGCCCTAGAAATGCATGTTAAAGCTTTCTAACTGAGAGAGCAAATGAGAGAATGGAAAAATGATGGAGAGGGTGACCAAAACGGGGATGTTTGGTTTTCCTCAGATCTGGAGTTGTTAAAGCATAGAAGTCCTTGAAAAAATACATGTAAGGGCTAGTGCTGTGGCTGAAGGAGTTTAAGCTGCTGCCTGTAGTGTCGGCATCCGTATGGGTGCCAGTTCCAATCCCAGCTTCTCCACTTTCGATCCAGCTTCCTGCTAGCACGATTGGGAAAGCAGCGGAGGATGGCCCAAGTGCTTGGACCCCTGCCACCTGGATGGAGCTCCTGGCTCCTGGTCCCTGCTTTTGCAGCCGATTAGAGAGTGAATCAGTGGCTGAAGATTTCTCTCTGTTTCTCTCTGCCTCTCCCTCTTCCTCTCTGTAACTCCATCTTTCAAATGAACAGATTTTTAATAATAATAAGTACACGTAAAGTAAAACCCATGATACCTAACAGTATTTTTGGCTTTGTGTTGATGCCTTCAAATTAACATTTTTTCCTCTGGAAACAATAACATTCATTAGCTTGTGAATATACAGATTGCTCAGGGCTCGGCAGGGCTGGCTATCTCTGTTTCCTATGGCATGTGCTGAAGCTGGAACACCCTGGAGTGCTTGTTCCCTAACTGTCACTTCAGCCTAGATACTGCGACAGTTGGGGCCTCCTGGCATCTTTTCTCACAGCATGGTGGCTGGGCTGCAATCACAGTGCTTCAAGAGGGCAAGTCCCAACCTGCCAGCTCTTCTGAAGGCTCCACTTGTAGTTTACAAACCTAGTGGTAAACCCAGACCCAGAATCCATGGAGGAGGGGCTATTCAATGCCATAAATATGAGAGTAACTCAAGAAGTTCACAGGTTAAAAGAGTTACAAGATAAGTTTATTTTAATGTAAATTTTTTTTAATTCATGCAGTTTTATTTTTCATAATAAACCTTTCCCATGAACATTTTGAAGACCCTTTGTATACATGGATTTCGCACCAAAATAAACTTGTTTCTTAATAAAGTCTCCATGGACTTTCTGAACTGCTCTTGTGTAACTCATGTACTATACAATTCACCTGCTTAAATTGTACAATTTAGTGTTTTTTGGTATATCTACAGGCTTGAATGCCCATCACTGTAATGAATTTAAAACATCTTCATCACCTTTAAAGAAACCCCAAACCCATAAGCAGTTTTAAAATAAGCATGAGACCATTAGCCTGGGGTTGTTTCTAGGAAACCAAACTGAGCTTTAGCCAGTCAAGCCAATTGATTTTATAACCAGGAATTTCTGTCATACTTGCACAAATAAAGCAAATCCCTGTAGCTAATCTGGTGATTTCTTTACCTTGCTTCTTGTTAAGCATGTAAAAACTGGCTGTTCACACTGCTGAATCAAAGCTGTCTGAACCCCTTCTAGTTTTGAATGCTGCCTGAATCATGAGTCATTTCTGTCTTCAAATATTCTGTTAAATTTAATCTGTGTAAAGTTTAATAGCAGTTTCTCCCCAGCCCCAGGTAACCATGTACCTATTTCCTGTCAGTGTTCAAGGATACTTCAAAAATCTTATGGAAAATAGAATTTATTTTGGTGCAAAACAAATCCATGCACAGTGTTTTTCATAATACACATTTTCTATGATCGTTTTGAGGACCCCTCATATTTGCCTATTTTGGACATTTCATATAAATGGAAGCACACAGTAGATGGTTTATGGCTGGCTTCTTTGACTTAGTATCATGTTTCTAAGGTTCATCATGTTATAGCTTGTATTAGTACTCCAGTTTTAGTTGCAGAATAGTCTTCTTTTGTATGCATATACCACATTTTGTTTATCTGGTTGTCAGTTGGGATGTGTTCCACTCTTTGGGCTATTGTAAATAATGCTACTGTGTATAGCCACATACAGATGTTTGTGTGGACGTGTTTTTCTGTCATTGGGGCTTACACCCAGAAGTGAAATTACTGGAATCGTTCATTTTGAGGGACTGTTTTCCAAAACAGCTGCACTTCAGGTTCTACCAGCAGTAAATGAGGATTCTACCTGCTTCGTGTTCTTGCCAACATCTCTTGTCTTTACAGTTAGGTATGCTGAACTGGGGTTTCCACTGGCACTGATGGAAAGACAAATGGAATGGAATGAGGGGAATAGGTATTACTCATGCCGCAAGAGAGTTCTGTCCCCTGCAGTGAGATGTTTTAGTTGAGGGGCCCTCTCCTCAGTGTCTAAAATTACTTGTTATAGAAGACTATTTAATGAAGCTTTAAGTATAAGCCAGGAGATTGGAGGTTTGATTTTTGCCACTAGACATAGTTGTTTTGCCTGCTTAGGATATGTGCTTTTTTATGCTTTTTATTTTTATTGACATAATTTTTTTCCAAGCCCAGATGCTTGCAGAATAATTTTTTAATTTGCACGTGGTTGTCTGTCTCAGCCAAAGGTTATATCCTTGGTTACAGGGATGATTGAGATTTTTTTTTTAAATGTGAAACTTCATTACAAATCGCTTTTTTAAAAAAAAATATTTATTTATTTACTTGAAAGGCAGAGTTTCAGAGAAAGAGCAAGAGCGAGAGCAAGAGAGAGAGAGAAAGAAATGTCTTCCATTAGCTGATTTACTCCCCAGATGGCTGCAACGACCGGAGCTGTACCGATCCGGAGCCAGGAGCTTCTTCCTGGTCTCCCACATGGGTGCAGGGGCCCAAGGGCTTGGGCCATCTTCTACTGCTTTCCCAGGCCACACAAAGAGCTGGGTTGGAAGTGGAGCAGCCAGGACTCCAACTGGTATCCATATGGGATGCCAGCACTGCAGGCGGCGGCTTTACCAGCTACGCCACAGTGCCAGCCTCGATGATTGAGATTTTAAAAGTTTACCTGAGGCCGGTGCCACAGCTCATTTGGCTAATCCTCTGTCTGCAGCACCAGCACTCCGGGTTCTAGTCCTGGTTGGGGTGCCGGATTCTGTCCCAGTTGCCCCTCTTCCAGGCCAGCTCTCTGCTGTGGCCCAGGAAGGCAGTGGAGGATGGCCCAAGTGATTGGGTCCTGCACCTGCATGGGAGACCAGGAGGAAGCACCTGGCTCCTGGCTTCGGATCGGCGCAGTGCGCTGGCCACAGCGGCCATTTGGGGGGTGAACCAATGGAAGGAAGACTTTCTCTCTGTCTCTCTCTAACTCTGCCTGTCAAAAAAAAAAAACAAAAAACAAAAAAAAAACAAAAAAACTGCACCTGAGATGAGGATATCTGATAAAGCCTTTTTGCTTTTTTCTTCTTTAAATATATTTAAGCACTTTTCAGACTGTATTCTGCTGCATAGCTATTTGGTGTGACCTTTTTCGGTTCATAGTTTCTTGTCAAAAAGTAAGACACTTAGTAACAAAACAATTTTGTAAAGTTTCAGAGTGGCCGGATCACACCACCCCGGAGAGCGCCCTCACCAGATGGCTTCTCACCATACAGCCCCGAGGAAACAAACCGCCGTGTGAACAAGGTGATGCGGGCCAGGCTGTACTTGCTGCAGCAAATAGGACCCAACTCTTTCCTGATTGGAGGGGACAGCCCGGACAATAAATACCGCGTGTTTATAGGGCCACAGGTAGGAGTTGTCACCACTTTATGTGTTACTAGTATCTGTGAGCAGCTCAGATTTATGTGCTATCACGTGCTTACATCAGTTGGGGAGGCAGGCATTTGGCCTGGCAGTTCAGGTGCCACTTGAGACACCCGCATCCCGTATCTGAGTGCCTGGATTGCGTCCCAGCAGTGCTGTGATCCCAGCCTACCGCTGATGTGCATCCTGGGAGGCAGCAAGTGCCGGCTCACATAGTTGAGTTCCTGCCAGGAGACCTCGATTAAGTTCCTTGCTCCCAGCTTCAGCCTGGCCTGACACAACTGTTTGCAGGCATTTGGAGGTGTGAACCAAACCAGCAGATGCCTCCCTGTTTTCTCTGTCTACCTAATGAAGAAAAACATGTTTTAAAAATTTACATCAGGGGCCACTGTTGTGGCCTAGCAGGTAAAGCCGCTGCCTGTAATACTGGCATCAGTTCGAGTCCTAGCTACTCCACATAAGATCTGGCTCCTTGCTAATGTGCCCAGGAAGGCAGTGGAGGATAGCCCAAGTCCTTTTGCCTCTGCACCCACATGGGAGACCCGAATAAAGCTCCTGGCTCCTGGCTTCAGCCTGGCCCAGCCCTGGCTATAGCAGCCATTTAGAGAGTGAACCAGCAAATGAGAGATCTTTCTTTTTCTTTCTGTCTCTCCCTCTCTCTGATTTTCAAATAAATAAGTAAATAAAAATTTAGATCAGTGACTTTTAGTAAAGTTTCCCTAAAATGTATTTTGTCTGGTTAATATTTTTCTTTAACATACTAATGAGATTTTTACTATGGCTTAATATACCATCAATAAAATAAATTTGATGTGTTTAATAAGTTCATAAACAATAAGACGTTAATTCATGGAGATAACCAGCTATATAGACTTCTCTTATACCTCTCTTGCATACAGGAGGACTTCAAAGAGTTTATGGAAAATGTGTATTATGAAAAAATTATACATAGATTCCAATTTTTTCATATAAAAGTAAACTAATCTTTTAATTCTATTTTTTCATGTACTTTGGAACTACCCTTGTATATGAAGACAATGAAAAATGTGTATTTATAGATAATAAATTTGGAAATTAAAATGATAAACTTACAAGTTCTAATGGAACCATAGATTTATTAATTTGTAGGTCTTTTTTAACTCTTCAGAACTGCAGCTGTGGGCGTGGAACATTTTGTATCCATCTGTTGTTTGTTATGCTCCGGGTGTTTCAACTAGAACCTTCAGACCCAATGCTGTGGAGAAAAACCTTAAAGAATTTTGAGGTAATTTTTTATAAATGCTTTAGAGTAAAACTGCTAGCAGATTTTTATTTTTGAAAATTTTCCATGGGCACTAAATTTAAATAGACAGTGATTGATCTGAAGGTATGAGGATATATAAGAATTATTCTATGCTTATAATTGTTTTTTATTTATATAATCTATTAAGTGATAAGTTCTTTCTTCTGGACTGAAAAAAATAACAAATACTGGCCTGCTGTTAAAACACTATCAACTATATGTATTCTTATTTTTGAAGCTCTTCAATCAGCTTTATGAAAAACTTAATGCAATAAAACCAAAGAATTCAACCTTTAGTACTCTTCATATGTATAATAATTATGGCACAAATGTCATTGTTACTGTCTTTTTCCAATGTTAGGTTGAGAGTTTGTTCCAGAAATATCACAGTAGGCGTAGCTCAAGGATCAAAGCTCCATCTCGTAACACCATCCAGAAGTTTGTTTCACGCATGTCAAATTCTCATACATTGTCATCATCTAGTACTTCTACATCTAGTTCAGAAAACAGGTTAGTATTTTTTAAGGAATTAAAACCATTAATCTAGTATTTTTAATTTTAGGGATTTTTTTAATATATGTTAAGTTGCTGTTTGATGTAAGTATTGAATCTTTCAGGTTAAAATCAAGGGTAAAAAATATCTAAGGTCATCTGAGTATAAATGTATGGACATTTTGTCCTAAAATTTAGAGTTTTAAAAATGGAACATTAATACAATAGTGTCCATTTTGTAAGAAAAATCAAGTTGCAGATAGAAAAACTAACTGTCATTCATTACTTTGTGCCAAGCACCTTATAATTATCTTACTCTGTAACTTAAAATAACTTCATTGGGTAGTTTGTCTCACTGTTTTATGGGTAATGAAGCGGAGGCATTGTGTAATAGAAGGAACTGTATGTAGGGCTTTTAGAAATAAACTATACAGGACAAAACAGTTCTGTAAAATCACTTTCAAATATAGGATTTTCTGCTGTGTGACGTCACTGCCTCCTTCACAGGTGTCTTCAGAGAATTCTTAAATAGGCTGTTTTACCTGGGAGAATGCAAGCATGTTCTTCAAGACGAGTCAGCTGTAATTCAGAGATACAGTAGCTGTTTTTCATAATTATTACTGAAAATCTACAGTGCTTCTCAAACTTCCATTGCCTAATTGAGTTCATAAGAATGAACACATAAGCCTAAAGAACCTGAAGTGTGACCCAGAATGATAGGTGTGAAGTTTTCAGTGAAGTCTCTGGTATTTATAATGGTTCATGTGAATTTCCTTTCCATTCCATGACTTTGCTTTATTGATTTTAATGTGAAATTGAAATGTTTAAACTACTTCCGAAAGAAGTGCTGCTTCTCTTCCCAGAGCATCTCCTGTGTGTTCCTAAGGCACTCTAGCTTGAGAAACACTGGTGCCAGTGGTTAAGTTCCACCCTCATCCCATCAGTCGTTTAGGTGTTGCAGTTTCCTTGAGATTCAGGAAGAATAACGAAGTGATGTTATCATGACAAGTACCCAGTGAAAAGGAGAGAGAGGTGTTTTCCTCTGGAAAAAGTAAATGTTTGAATTTTCTTAGTTTTGATTAAATGAACTGATTTGCGAATTCTAGAGCTCTAGAGTTGTTTGGGATGTTGACGATGTTCTAGTGTCTGTGGCTCAGTGACGAGTGCAGCCTGGAGAAGCTGCACAGCTCCTGTGAGCAGAAGCCTAAGTGGAACCTGGGACTGTGCAGTCGCAGGGCGAGGCTCTTCCTCATCTTTCCCAAGTAGAATGAAGAAACAGCTTTATTTCTCAAGCAAAGTGACCCAGGCTTTATTCTACAGCTTTTCTCCTTTTGTGACATTTCTCTAACTTCGCGTTTTCGAGAAGAATAACAAATGCTTAAAAATCAGGTAGCCAAAGTTAAAATAGATTCCTTCTCAGATGAAAATAGAAACCTTACAAATATGGGCTGGCCGTGGTTGTGAGTTCTGTTGATTGGTTTGGATTGGTATCTCCATAGAGAACTCGCAGAAGATGTCACCTTCCCATACTGAGATTATACTATTTATGTAGGTAAATGTAATTACATTATTCTTATACATAAATATAAAACAAAAACCTCAGTAAGAAGAAAAAATTTATCTGGAGATCTGATTATATAAAATTTTGAATGGTAAGTCAGAAACAAAAAGAGGACAAACAAAATGAAAATACTTAATTAAAATTATGAACAAAACCTCACCCCAAAAAACTCAGACTACAAACAGGAACCTAGGATCCAAGTACATAAAAGAACAAAAGGAATGAAGAGAATATTCACAGAAAAACAGTTTCCAGAGGCTGGCTAACATATGAAAACTGTTCAGTCAGTCTCATTAAAAGAATTCCCATTTTTCAAAAAAAAATACCAGTTTTTATAGAATTAGTGGAGACTTTTCTAATCAGACAGTTAAGTTCTTTAAAGGACTTGGCTTTGCTGTATAACCTTTCTGGAAAAAAGCATTAGGGCTTTTTAAAACATTTATCTTCATTGATCCAATAAATGTATTTTTTTGTTTTTGTTTTTTTAAGAAAAATAGTTTGGGAAATATACAGGCCTTACAAGATGGCTTTTTCTCATAGTTTAATGGTGAAAAATTGAAAACAACTGAAGTATCCAACAGCAAGTGAATGGTTGACATATGCCTATGATGATTGTCTCATGCCATCATGAAAATTATGCTTTTGAAGAGCATTAATTGGCAAGCATGGAGAAGTGCTCATAAGTGAAACCAAATTCTGGTTATAATTTATCATTCATGAACCCAATTTTTATTTATAAAAAGTCAAGTGGATACATAAAAATTTAAAGAAATAAAAAAAGTTCAGTTGTTATTGACAAGTGTTATTGCAGATTTTTTCTTTTTAATACTTTACATTGTGGATCGTCAGATCTCTGGCACTACTCAGCTATGCCTTTGTAGACTGAAAGTAGCTATGACGGTATGTAAACAAATGAGCATGGCTGTGTGCTAATAGAACTTTATTTACAGGGCCGGCGCCGTGGCTCAGTAGGCTAATCCTCCACCTTGCAGCGCCGGCACACCAGGTTCTAGTCTCGGTTGGGGCGCCGGATCCTGTCCCGGTTGCTCCTCTTCCAGGCCAGCTCTCTGCTGTGGCCTGGGAGGGCAGTGGAGGATGGCCCAAGTGCTTGGGCCCTGCACCTGCATGGGAGAGCAGGAGAAGCACCTGGCTCCTGGCTTCAGATCAGCGTGATGTGCTGGCCGTGTCGGCCATTGGAGGGTGAACCAACGGCAAAAGGAAGACCTTTCTCTCTGTCTCTCTCTCACTGTCCACTCTGCCTGTCAAAAAAAGAAAGAAAAAAAAACTTTATTTACAGAAGTGCACTACAGGCTGCTTTATTCTCCTTTTAGTTTGTTGCTCCCTGCTCTGTACTTACATGATTGTACTTCTGGAAGAACTGCTGAAAAGAAATAATCTGAAAAAGCAGCACACAGATATTTATAATGGTTTCTTAAAAATCTTAAACTATAGAAGAAATGGCTCAAATAAAAAGTACACTACACATTTAGGATCCTTTTAGTTAGTGAAAAATTGTGCCACCATTAAAATTATGTGTATGGTGGAAGCAACTCCGGTATTTGTTGATGGATAAACAAAATACGGTACATACACATGATGGAGGAGCTCTGAGCCTGAATAAGGGAACAGACTTTGACATATACTCCAGCAGGGATGAACCTTGAGACGTTATACGAAGTGAAATAAGCCAGTCACGAATACTGTGTGATTCTATTTCTATGTGCTACTTAGTCAAAATGACAAAGACGGAAGGTTGGTGTTGCTAGAGGCTAGGGGAGGGGAGAATGAAGTGATTGTTGGATTGCTGTGAAGTTTCGGTTTGACAAGACGAGACATTCTGGAGGGGTCGGAGGTAATGATTGACAACGTGAATGTATTTAATACCACTGAACCGTGTATGCTGGAAACTGGTTAAGATGGTTGATTGTATGTTACATGTGTATTTTGCCACAATGAAAAACTGCTATTATGTGATGTGTTTGTTCATAGTCAGACCTGATAGCAATTTGTTCATTTAAAAAATATACTGACAGAATGAGACACAAATGCTCTTTGTAAGATTGCAGTTCAGGTACGGAATTGTCTTCCTAGCCAGGGCAGCTTAACTCACACACAATCTGTAAATGCACAGGTATGGGAGTTGGATTTAAAGTTAGTGTAAATCAATAGGAGAAATCAGTTTCTCTCAAATACTTAGATGAAAGATGCTCTGAAACAAGAATTTATAATATATTCACAGTCTAAAATGGCAGAAATTGTTTGTGGTATGCAGCATTAATTCTCTTACCTTTCGCTTTATGTGTGTGTGTGTTTGGTGCTTAATGCTTCTGCTTCTCTTTCCTCGTAGCATAAAAGATGAAGAGGAGCAAATGTGTCCTATCTGCTTGTTGGGCATGCTGGACGAGGAGAGCCTGACAGTGTGTGAGGATGGCTGCAGGAACAAGCTGCACCACCACTGCATGTCCATATGTACGTGACTCCTTTTCTCCCTGCACTCAGGAACACGGGTGCCCTGGGAGCTGCTTGAGGATTCTGATGTGGCTGGGGGGGAGACTGGCAAGAAACCAACCAAAAGGGTTAGATATATAAGCCATTGGTGAAGTTTTCCACAGTTGTAGAGTTTGGAATCTGTTAGGAGATGAGCTGTGTGAGCAGAGGAATGTGGTCTAGTCTGGTCCGTGTGGTAAAGGAGTGCCTAGAGTTAGCAGTGCTAGCCCAGCTAGCCCAGCCCAAGGCCTGGGTAGGCAGTGCAGAGGGGCGAGCATCCCAGCAGCGTTGGGAAGACCTCTCCAGGTTCGTAATCCAGCAGACAGGACATTTTGAGTGTGAGCAAGCAAGTTACATGTTACCACAACTAGTGAATCCTGCAGTAACCATTGCAGATAGTTACACATCTAAATAAATACTTAATGTTGGGCCGGCGCCATGGCTCACTTGGTTAATCTTCTGCCTGCGGCACTGGCATCCCATATGGGCGCCAGGTTCTAGTCCCAGTTGCTCCTCTTCCAGTTCAGCTCTCTGCTGTGGCCCAGGAGGACAGTGGAGGATGGCCCAGGTGCTTGGCTTCTGCACCCACATGGGAGACCAGGAAGAAGCATCTGTCTCCTGGCTTTGGATCGGTGCAGCGCTGGCCTTGGCGGCCATTTGGGGAGTGAACCAGTGGAAGGAAGACCTTTCTCTCTGTCTCTCCCTCTCACTGTCTATAACTCTACCTGTCAAATAAAATAAATAAATAAATGCTTAATGTTAAACAATTACGTTTTTGTAAGCTTTTTTCTTTAATTTTTCAGGGGCAGAAGAATGTAGAAGAAATAGAGAACCTTTAATATGTCCCCTTTGTAGATCTAAGTGGCGGTCCCATGATTTTTATAGGTAAGAGTTTTGAATTAATGACTTGTGTGTGTTTAGTAAAAAAAGTAACAGGGTTTTCAAAATGTGGTTTAAGTGTTAAAAACATTTTTTAGCAAGTATTGTCATTTTTTATTTTAGCCACGAGTTGTCGAGCCCTGTGGATTCCCCCTCTTCCCTTCGAACTGCACAGCAACAAACCCTACAGCAGCCACCTTTGGCTGGATCACAAAGAAGGACTCAAGAGAGCAACTTCAACCTTACTCACTATGGAACTCAGCAGATCCCACCTGCTTACAAAGATCTGGCTGAGCCATGGATTCAGGTCAGTAGCTCTTTGTTCATTTCTCCAGGAAACACAGACAATGTGGGCATCCCTTTCCCTCAGCAGTTTATAATGTAACAAAAGAAGATGCTTTTGCTGGCCTCCATCATGACTCTTATTTCATTAAGATTTTTAATGTTCCTTTAGTATTAATACTGTGCTGCTGTTTATACAGCTTAAACTTCAAAAGTTCTTTGTAGTTTATCCTCTCATGTCTAGAAACATCTTTCTGAACTAACACACATAAAAGGTTATCTAAAGACAGAAACTCAGCTCTTTCAATGCTAACTTTTTCTAATGTTTAATGCCCCTTCCTGCCAAGAATTTCTGTTGCTTATATGCTGCTGCTTAGTCTCTCCTTTCTGTGTCCTAACAGTGCATAGTGGGTACCAAATAATCAGAGTGGATGAACAAGAAGGAAATATGTGGTATTGACCTTATGTTAGTCATTCGTAAGGATCGTTTCCATTCCTTTATGTTCTTTTCTGATTGCTTTTTCATCCTCAGTAATGTAGGGCTTTTTGTTGGTTTGTTGAATGCTTAGTCTGTTGTTCAAAAAATGTAAGACCCAAGACCAGACAGTGTCTCCAGTGGACACTAGTGAAGTAAAATGATTGTTCCCAATAACCTGCTAAATTCTGCAAAGTCAATATACTGTATATCAGTAGGGTTTTTTCATTTTTATTTTTGTGTGCATTATCATCCTGCAGCTTTGAAATTCTCTTTTCTCAGCATACCAATAAACCATTAGGAATCTAATAAAATCTGCAAAATTAATAAATGCATCCTAATTCTTTTATGTAGTTCATTAGTAATGTTTCAACAGAAGCCCTCCCCTGCTCGTCATGAGCCCTCAAGAACCGTCAAGCTGGTTCTGGGCGGCCTTGGATGCTGTTCTCTCAGAGCAGTGCTCTGGTTTGTTTCTGTTTAAGCTTTAGCTCAGACTAGGCTGTGGATTCTGGGTTCTTTAGTAAGAACATCATGTAAAACAATTAAAACTTAATAGCGGTTTGCCACTTAACAGTGCCAGAAGTTCACTCATTATATTCTAGTTGGTTTTTTCTCCTTTATAGCAGCACATATTTTTTAAAATAAGTATGTCGTTCGTTTTCCCCAAAATGTGTTTACACATCTTGACTATCTAGAGATTTTTGCACATGATAAATTGTGCTAGGTGTTACGCTTGCTTTTACCTGATAAGCTGAAAGTCAAGAGCATTTATGCTTTCCTTTCTTTGCTGTGTCTCTGGAGGGTCGTGGTAAGGATGCTGTCAGGACACACACATTAGTTCTAGGTACTGCACTGTCCTTTGCTATTGTGAGCACAAACATTTTTTCTTTAGTTTTTGATTTGCCACTCTATGCACTATAATCTTACCTGGTTTTTTTTTTTTTTTTCTGTTTAAGGTATTTTTGATTTAGTGGGTTTTTTAAAGCCATTTTTTGGTCTAAGACAAAAACCAAATAAATGCTTTTAGTTTACCACTAGCGTCTGCTCTTGAACCACTCTACTGTGTGTCCCAGTGTGGCTTCTGTAAATCCTGTTCCAGGCTTTTTCTCTGGAAGGGTTTCTTCACAGTGTTTTGTTTGGAGGATGGTGTGGGTAAGCCTGAAGGGTACAGACCTAGGCATGTATACTTATCCGTCTCATTCTTAATGGAGTTTACTCTTAATTTTTCTTACACTAATGAGTGGTAATGGTTTGAGAATCACCAGTTAAACTTGAGTGTAAAATTCCTCATCACTATCTTAAATGGCTGCACATATTTTGCAGTTGTGTAAAGATGTCAGAAATGTCCAGTTTTTCTGTAGAAATTGAAAAGCTTGCTTACAGTGCTGTGGGTTCACCTGTTTTTCTTCCCGTTGAATTCACTGTGTTTGATACAGGTGTTTGGAATGGAACTCGTTGGCTGCTTATTTTCTAGAAACTGGAATGTCAGAGAGATGGCCCTCAGGCGTCTTTCCCATGATGTTAGTGGGGCCCTGCTGTTGGCAAATGGGGAGAGCACTGGAAATTCCGGGGGCAGCGGTGGCAGCAGTCCGAGCGTGGGAGCCGCCAGTGGGTCTCCACAGGCCAGCGTCTCTGGGGACGTGGTGGAGGCGTGCTGCAACGTCTTGTCGGTGGTCTGCGCCGACCCTGTCTACAAAGTGTACGTTGCTGCTTTAGTAAGTAGCTTTATTCCCTAACCATCTCATTGCGGGGTTCCTTTGCTGATTGTTTCAGATACTGTTTTCCAGATACAATAGAGCTACTTTATGTGACTTAACTCTGGAAAATCTGAAGTGTATTTTTCTTCCAAAATCCCAGGAAATGACAGTTTTCCATGTAACCGACCTCTCATTTAATTTTCCATTGTACTGATTTTAATCTGGTCAGGTTTCCTTACGTGCAGTTAGCTGTCCCCATCAAGCAGCAGTGTCCTGCTGTTCATACCTTACCGTGTTCCTGAGCAGGTACTTGACATGTGACTAAAGTGATAATAACTTAAGGGATAGTAAAGGGATCCAAGTTACTTTGCTTTTTTTTTTTTATTTTTTTTATTTATTTATTTTTTTTTGACAGGCAGAGTGGACAGTGAGAGAGAGAGACAGAGAGAAAGGTCTTCCTTTGCCGTTGGTTCACCCTCCAATGGCCGCCGCGGCTGGCGCGATGCGGCCGGCGCACCGCGCTGATCCGATGGCAGGAGCCAGGAGCCAGGTGCTTTTCCTGGTCTCCCATGGGGTGCAGGGCCCAAGCACCTGGGCCATCCTCCACTGCACTCCCTGGCCACAGCAGAGGGCTGGCCTGGAAGAGGGGCAACCGGGACAGAATCCGGCGCCCCGACCGGGACTAGAACCCGGTGTGCAGGCGCCGCTAGGCGGAGGATTAGCCTAGTGAGCCGCAGCGCCGGCCCTACTTTGCTTTTAATTTGGTATCTGTTGATATTAAGGAGAATTTCTTTTTAAGAAGCATTTTGCATGATTTTTAGTAAGCATTTTTGTGTGGAAACACAGGAGCCATTTCACAGAAGAGAGTGCCATGACACTAACTGTCATGACCCTGTCCTGTTTTTCCATGAAACATGCGGAGGGACAATGTGTGCCATAGAACAGTGCTCTTCACCCAGCTTTTTGCCTCTTAACTTCCTACCGGTTTTCTAACACAAACTTTTAGGCACACTTGACTGCCTGGTATGTTTCTCCTTTCGAGGGTCCATCTTCTGTGAGCTGTCCCTCATCTTCCCAGCCAGTGGCGACCCTGTCCTCTCACCATATTGCTCTCCCTGCAGATGCCATCTGGTTATCCTGCAGTTCAGACTGTCAGCTGGCCTGGAAGCCGCTTGAGATGGGCACCATAGAAAGGATGCCACGTTCTCGTCCGTTGGCAGTTATGTAGTGTGCCAGGCTCAGCAGAGACAGAAGTGGTCCTACCTTCAAAGCTTTTCTTCTCTTTTCTTCCACCACACACCTCCCTCTTTCCCTGTCTTTATTCTTCCCTCTTCCCTCCCCATCCCTAGTTTTTTGCTGAACCATTGTGGAGTTATTTCTAGGCATCATGACATTTTGTCCTCCAATCACTTAGCATGTGCCTCTTAAGAATATTTATATTGTGGGGCTGGCGCCGTGGCTCACTTGGTTAATCCTCCGCCTGCAGTGCTGGCATCCCATGTGGGCACCAGGTTCTAGTCCTGGTTGCTCCTCTTCCAGGCCAGCTCTCTGCTGTGGCCTGGGAAGGCAGTGGAGGATGGCCCAGATGCTAGGGTCCTGCACCCGCATGGGAGACCAGGAGGAGGCACCTGGCTCCTGGCTTCGGATCGGCGTAGCTCCAGCCGTGACGGTCATTTAGGGGTGAGCCAATGGAAGGAAGACCTTTCTCTCTGTCTTTCTCTCTCACTGTCTAACTCTAGCTGTCAAAAAAAAAAGAATACATACATTGTTCTGTGTAACCAGTTGCAACCAGCATGTTCTCCTTAATAACAGTATTACTGCATACTGTCAGGTTCCTATTTCAATCTTCCCAGCTGTGCCAGCAGTATACTTTATAGCTAAACTGCAGACTTTATTCACGTGTCAGTTTTCCCACTAACAGTTTTTTCTGTCCCAGGATCCAGTCCAGGATGCCGCATCGTACTCAGTCATCCTTTCCTCTTAATCTGTTGATCCTCTGTGATGATTCCTCAGCCTTCCCTTACATGACCTTGACTCCTGAGCCTTACCAGCCAGTTGTTTTGTAGAGTGCCCATCCATGTGCGTGTTTCTGATGCATACCTGTGGTTATTGTGCACTTTTCACAAGATTACCACAGGGGTGCTGTACCCTTCCCTCCTCAGTACACTGTAACAGTGGCTGATGCTCTCAGTTTGAGTGATGTCTGCTTTCTCCACTATGAATTTACTGTTAATAAATATCGGGCTGGCACTGTGGCATGGTGTGTTAAGCTACCGTCTGCAATGCCAGCATCCCATATGGGTGCTGGTTTGAGTCCCAGCTGCTCAATTTCTGACCCAGCTCCCTGCTAATGGCCCAAGAAAAGCAGTGGAAGATGGCCCAAGTATTTGGGGCTCCTGCTACCCACTTGGGAGACCCTGAGAGCCCCTGGCCTCCAGGCTTTGGCTTGGCTCAGCCCCAGCTGTTGCTACCATTTGGGGTTCACAGTTGCAGCAGCAATGGAAGATCTCTCACTTTTTTTCTCTCGCTTTCTGTAATCTGACTTTAAATAATAAATCTTTAAAAATAAAAATAAATAAGTATCTTGAGAGATACTTTGAAACTGTATAAATAAGAGTTGAAATTTTGCCCATTGATGTTACCGTTTGTCAGCAAATCTGACCTGGAGCAATTATTACTACACTATTAGAGCTGGTCTTCTAACGTTGATTTTTCTGTCGTCCTCATTCTTTCCACATTAATTAATTGGAATTCTTCTGTAAAGAAGAGCTGTCTCTTCCCCATTCATGTATCTATTCAGATTTTTTTTTTAAAGATTGTATTTAATTTTTTGAGAGGTAGAGTTAGAGAGAGGGAGAGACTGATTGTCTGTCTGCTGACTCACTTCCCAGGTGCCTGCAACTGCCAGAGCTGAGCTGATCCAAAGCCAGGAGCCAGGAGTTTTTCTGGGTCTCCTACACAGGTGCAGGGGCCCAAGGACTTGGGCCATCTTCTGCTGCTTTCCCAGGCCATAACAAAGAGCTGGATAGGAAGTGGAGCAGCCAGGACTTGAACTAGTGCCCATATGACACGCTAGCACCACAGGCAGAGGCTTAGCCCACTACACCATAGTACTGGCCCTTCTATTCAGATTTTAATTTACAATAATGTGAACTTGTGGGTGTTCTGGGGATCATAGGTAACGCATTATTTACTTTGTTGCTCAAATTATCCCAACTTTGGCCATCAGGAGCTCTTTTCGGTTAGATCCTATTCTTATTAAACAGTAATTTTTCAAATTATTTGAATTCAGACTTTTAAAAATTGCTGAGTTTGGAGAATTCCTTTCCACCACATTTGTTTGTTTATTTGGCTATTTGTTCATGCCATTATAGACTGATGGATTTATTCTGAGTTATAATCCATCCCTATCATTATTTTGTCGCTCAGAGTGTCTCAGATTAGTCCATTGTCTCTAATGCTCCTGGTTAATCTGACCTTCAGTGTTTCCTCCCCAGAAAACATTGCGAGCTATGCTGGTGTACACTCCTTGCCACAGTCTGGCAGAAAGAATCAAGCTCCAGAGACTCCTCCGACCAGTTGTTGACACCATCCTCGTCAAGTGTGCTGATGCCAACAGGTAAGGCCTCACTGATGAGCCGCTTCAATCCGTCGTGTAGGAGAGACCTCACACCTGGGGAGTACTTGCCACATTTATTAAATGCCTGAATACTGTTCTGTAACATTAAGTTGGAAATTAAAGTTCTTAAGGACTAGAGGAAAGAATTAATGACAAATAAAAGCCAGCCTAACAGCATAACACAATACATTATTATATTGATTCTTTTAAATAATGTTCTTAATCTGAAATCCAGTTGATATAAACATTAACAAATATCTGTAGAGTTGAATCTGATTTTAGAAGATGAGTTACACAGGATAGGAACCAGTAAAATCATTATGTCTGGGGCCGGCGCCGCGGCTCACTAGGCTAATCCTTCGCCTAGCGGTACCGGCACACCGGGTTCTAGTCCCGGTCAGGGCGCTGCATTCTGTCCCGGTTGCCCCTCTTCCAGGCCAGCTCTCTGCTGTGGCCCAGGAGTGCAGTGGAGGATGGCCCAAGTGCTTGGGCCCTGCACCCCATGGGAGACCAGGAGAAGCACCTGGCTCCTGCCTTCAGATCAGCGCAGTGCGCCGGTGAACCAATGGCAAAGGAAGACCTTTGTCTCTGTCTCTCTCTCTCACTGTCCACTCTGCCTGTAAAAAAAAAAAAAATCATTATGTCTGCTACACATTACTATCAGGAACCCAAAAATTCCATTATTTTCAGTGTAACAGAATTTTAAGGAGAGTTTTTATAATTTTTTATGAAATCCCATTTATTTCTGAAATATCCTTGAAAATTGATAAGGAACAAGAGTAACCCTAACTTGAAAGAAAAGTCTGATATAGTGAAATGAGGAATAGGGACTGTATAAAAATCAGCACAAGCCATTCTTTTAAACCAATTGTTGTCTTTTATTTTCCTGTTTCACCAAGTAGAAGGAAAAGACCACTTCCTTTAATAAGCATAGCTCCAGTAAACAGTTGCTTGGTGGTTCCCATCTCTACATCCCAGCAGATCTTGAAGTGTTGAGTCTTCCTTGTGTTGCCTCAGTCCATTTTTTCTTTTCCTCCCCAAGTTAACTGAGTTTGCAGAGGATCTCAATAATTGTGTGATTTGACTAGTTTCTTATCTCCCAAAGTTTATCTTGCATTCATTTGTCTACAGAAGCCTACCTACTGAAAGTTTTCTTGTTGCTTAGAGAAAACTTTATAACTGAATAACATGGGCAAATTCACAAATAATTTGTAAAATGCATATAGAAAATCTTGTCATTTTCAATACTAGAATAGGCTTTTTTTTTTGAGAACTTAAGTTTGTGGCATTTGTTTTTCAGTTTCTGAATCTAAAGTTAGGTTGTTCATTTGGTCGCTTGAACAAGTTAAGCCCTAAGAAATACTTTAAAACAGCTTTTTGATACTGGGAACTCATTCTGGCTATCTCAGAGAATATAAGGGATTTGAATGGGAGCTTGTTTGTAATTCTTAGTGAAGTTCGGAAATCAAAATGTCAGCATCTGCATTCTTTTTAACAAGATATAGTAATGAAAGTTAAACTTTTATCTCATTTGATATTTAAATCAGTACATCCTAAGAGCCAGTGCTGAAGACTCTGTGCTTAACATAGAGGATAAGTTTAAATTTATGAAATTAGAGCTAATAATGAATTTCTAGTGGCACTGTTATGTTTCACCTCTAAAGGTGAAAAAGTAAACACTCTGAAAATGTGATTTTCCCACTTTCTCAAAAAGCGTTTCATTACTGCACTAATACTGGTGTACATTGTTATCTTACATCCAGGATTCACATTGCTTTTCTTTCATTTTCAGCCGCACAAGTCAGTTGTCCATATCAACACTGTTGGAATTGTGCAAAGGCCAAGCAGGAGAGTTGGCAGTTGGTAGAGAAATACTTAAAGCTGGTAATTAATACAACTTCAAATTAATACAACCTGTTGCATCATTTTTCCTAGCAGTCTGTCTAATGTCGTAATCCCTCATGGGGCAGTTACAAGATTTTGAAGTAATTTAAATGGATTCGTTCAGCTATAGAGACCTGAATGAATTGAAGAGAAACTCTTAACATTAATATAATTTGGAGTACTTTTATTGCCTTATACTGTTTATGTTTTGTGTGAGATTTTAGCATCGCTATTTTTCAGTCATTTATTTTGACTTTCCTTTTTTAGGATCCATTGGAATTGGTGGTGTTGATTATGTCTTAAATTGTATTCTTGGAAACCAAATTGAATCAAACAACTGGCAAGAACTCCTGGGCCGCCTTTGTCTTGTAGATAGACTGTTGTTGGAGTTTCCTGCTGAATTTTATCCTCATATTGTCAGTACTGACGTCTCACAAGCTGAGCCTGTTGAAATCAGGTAGTTTTTCTTCTCTTTCTCCTTCCTTCTTTCTCATCCTTTATGCCCCTTAAGAGTGACACATATTAGAACTATGAAAGATTCAGAATTTACATAGAGCATAGGTAGGATACTGATACCTTAATATTTGATTGACATAAAAACCTGAAAGCTAGGCTGTGTAATTACAGATTTGTAAATCCTTTATATTAAGTGGCTTTTTGAAGTGTACAAAGTGTAAATTGAAACCATTTTATCTGCATGTATTTTTCAGTAATTTGAACTTTTGTAGTGATGGAATTTTTTTTTTCCAGGTATAAGAAGCTGCTGTCCCTCTTAACCTTTGCTTTGCAGTCCATTGATAATTCCCACTCAATGGTGGGTAAACTCTCCCGAAGGATCTACTTGAGTTCTGCGAGGATGGTGACCGCAGTGCCCCACGTGTTTTCAAAGCTGTTGGAGATGCTGACCGTCTCCAGCTCTACTCACTTCACCAGGATGCGCCGCCGGCTGCTGGCTATTGCGGATGAGGTGGAAATTGCTGAGGCCATCCAGCTAGACATGGAAGACGGCCTGGGACGCCGCCAGGACAGCTTTCTGCAGGCATCTGTCCCTAACAGCTATCCCGAAACCACAGAGAACGGCTCCCGTGAGTGCACAGCCCATACAGAGAAAACTGGAAAAGGATTGTGTGCTGCAAAATTGAGTGCCAGCTCAGAGGACATTTCTGACAGACTGGCCAGCATTTCACTGGGACTTCCTTGTTCAGCAACAACAGAGCAGCCAAAGCCAGTGATTCAGACAAAAGGCAGACCCCACAGTCAGTGTTTGAACTCTTCTCCTTTATCTCATCATTCGCAATTAGGGTTCCCAGCCTTATCAACCCCTTCCTCCTCGGCCCCATCTGGACCAGCCGGCACTGTAACAGATGTCTGTAAGCATAGACCTCAGGGATTCGTTCCCTGCAAAATACCCTCTGCATCTCCTCAGACACAACGCAAGTTTTCTCTACAATTCCAGAGAAACTGTTGTGAAAACAAAGACTCAGATAAACTCTCCCCAATCTTTACTCAATCGAGACCCCTGCCCTCCAGTAACATACACAGGCCAAAGCCATCTCGACCTACGCCAGGTAATACAAGTAAACAGGGAGATGCCTCAAAAAATGGCATGACACTTGATCTGAGCACTACTTCCAAATGTGACGACAGCATTGGCAGTAGCAGCCATGGTAGTAATGCTGTTATACCCAGTGATGAGACAGTGTTCACCCCAGTCGAGGAGAAAGGCAGATTAGATGTCAATACAGAGCTCAACTCCAGTATCGAGGACCTTCTTGAAGCTTCCATGCCTTCTAGTGACACAACAGTAACCTTCAAGTCAGAAGTTGCTGTCCTGTCTCCTGAAAAGGCTGAGAATGATGACACCTACAAAGATGATGTAAATCATAATCAGAAGTGCAAAGAGAAGATGGAAGCTGAGGAAGAAGAAGCTTTAGCCATTGCCATGGCAATGTCAGCATCGCAGGATGCCCTCCCCATAGTTCCTCAACTGCAGGTTGAAAACGGAGAAGATATCATCATTATCCAACAGGATGTAAGTATAGAGTCTCCTAAGAGGAGACAGAGTTTGCTTGGATCGTGCTAAATTCAGAAATGCTGCTTTTAACAGAGCTTAATCAATGCAGTCAGGTTTCTCACAGAATTATTAAGTAATGATGTTTGTCTTGTTTAAGCAGCAATACTCCTTGCCTTATTTCTAAGGCATCTGTATGTGATTCTGTGGACTCACTTCTGTGATTCTGTAATGGGGATCACTTCTGCATTAGACATCGGTCACTCACAGCGGCCGTTCAGAGTCAAGTATAATGGTGTTTTGGGAACCCAGACTGAACAAGAGTAATATTTTTTCACAGAAACCTTACCCTTTTAACTGAACAGTAAAGATTGCTTCCATTTAACATACAGACACCAGAAACTCTACCAGGACATACCAAAGCAAAACAGCCTTACAGAGAAGACACCGAGTGGCTGAAGGGGCAGCAGATAGGCCTTGGAGCGTTTTCTTCTTGTTATCAGGCTCAAGATGTGGGAACTGGAACTTTAATGGCTGTTAAACAGGTAAATATCTAGTGAGCATATAAATGAAATGATTCAAATTATAAAAAGCATGAGCAGGTAAAAAGAATAAATGAGGTATCTTTGTGTGTATGTGTATTTTAGTTCTGTAAACTTTGGGAAACCTAAATTTCAAAGTAGATATTGCCAGACCACCAGAACCGTCATGAAATAGTTTATGAACAGTTGAAGCTTGGTAAGAGATAATACCAAGGTAGGCCTCATAGAAGTTAGATTTTAAGATTTATGTATTTCCTTGAAAATCAGAGTTAGGGAGAAACAGAGGGAGATGTTCTATCCAGTTGTTCACTCCCCAGATGGCCACAGTGGTCAGGACTGGGCCAGGCTGAACACAGGAGCTTCTTCCAGGTTGCCCCTTTGGGTAGCAGTGGCCCAAGCACTTAGACCGTCTTCCGCTGCCTTTCCCAGTCTCATTAGCAGTGAACTGGGTAAGTGGAGCAAACAGGACGAGAACCAGTGCCCATGTGGGAGCCCGCGTTGCAGGCGGAAGCCCTACTCAATATGTGAGCACTGGTCCCCCTGTGCTTTACTTTTTTAAATGAGCATGCTTATCAGGATATGAATTTTAAAATTATAAAGCTTTCATTTTTAAAAGTATTGTTTTTAGCCAGCACCGCGGCTCAATAGTCTAATCCTCCGCCTAGCGGCGCCGGCACACAGGGTTCTAGTCCCGGTCAGGGTGCCAGATTCTGTCCTGGTTGCCCCTCTTCCAGGCCAGCTCTCTGCTGTGGCCAGGGAGTGCAGTGGAGGATGGCCCAAGTGCTTGGGCCCTGCACCCCATGGGAGACCAGGAGAAGCACCTGGCTCCTGCCTTTGGATCAGCGCGGTGCGCCGGCCGCGGTGGCCATTGGAGGGTGAACCAACAGCAAAGGGAGACCTTTCTGTCTTTCTCTCACTGTCCACTCTACCTGTAAAAAAAAAAAAGGGTATTTTTTTTTTCGATGAGGCTTTTCCTATTTTTACTCTATAGAGAATTGGCTGTATCTCAAGTTTTTGTATTTTTTTTTTACATTTCAGATGCTTGCTTGGCTAGATTGACTGTCCACAAGCATCTGATTTGGCCTTTTCACAAAGTACATCATGTTGGCAGCTGCTATTAGTGTATCAGCTAATCAGGATTTGTCATTTTAGATCAGATTGTTAAGTGAAAGCTGTAATAGAATCTCATCAGAATTCAACACTTTGTGAATGTTTATTTGAAATAGGTGACATATGTCAGAAACACGTCCTCTGAGCAGGAGGAAGTGGTGGAAGCCCTGCGAGAAGAGATCAGAATGATGAGCCATCTGAATCACCCGAACATCATCAGGATGTTGGGAGCCACGTGTGAGAAGAGCAACTATAATCTCTTCATTGAGTGGATGGCAGGTGTGTGCATGCTGTAGATTAGACTTGTACATACTTAACTGGCTGCTGGTAAGTCTAGGAAAAAATTTTATTAAATGCCTTGGATTTCCTAAAGTAAGTCACCCCAAACATAGAAACTGCAAATACGTTATCTTTCATGTAAATATAAATAGTTACTGCCTCTACCTTTTTAATTGTTCTAGGTGTTTTTAAATAATTGTGTAGCATTGTTTTATAATTTTTTCCACCTGCATATAAAAGATCCCAGGTGATCATCACTAACTGGATTGATTTAGGAGTGTTCCAATAATAAACAAAATTAAGATACAATTGGAGAAACCTAACAGATAAACTAGCACTGAAGCATAAAGTTAAACCTTGTCAACTCGGACAAAGACTAAGTTTTATCTTGTGTTATACCATGTATATGGTAAAGTGACTTGAGTTACGATAGATTAACTTCTTAGGTTCGTATGTGTTTTAAAATGCCTTTTTGTTTGCCTGTCAGTTCTTGAGTGTATTTTTTTTTTTTAAGGTGAACAAGTTTTGTGTATTTCATATATACAGATTTAGGAGCACAGTGATACTTCCCACCTACTGTCTCTCTTCCTTCCTTTTTCTTTTACTTTTCTTGAGGATATACAGAGTAGATAGGTTGATTATTTAAATGAGGATCTTTGAGTGTGTTACTTGTCCCAGGTTAGAGCTAGTCAGTGGTCACTGTGGATGCAGCCTAACTCTGGGTCTTTTGGCTCTTCCTTCTCATTCTCTTTATCCTCTGCTCAATAACATGTTAGCATTTTAAATTTTTTCTTAAGATTTAGTTGAGACAGATCTTCTATCTACTGGTTCACTCCACAACTGCCCACAAAGGCTGGGGCTGGCCCAGGCTGAAGCCAGAAGCTCCTTTCATTTTCCCATGTGGGTGGCAGGGCCCCAAGTACCTAAGCCATTATCTGCTGCCTCCCAGGTGCACTTGCAGGTAGCTAGATCAGAAGTAGAAAAGCTAAGACACGAAGCAAATTCTTGTATGTGGGTTGCAGGTGTCCCAAGCAGCAGATCAACGTGTTGGGGCCACAACAACTGTCCTCATGTTAGTATTTTTTACTTAGCCATTAATAAGTGTTTTGGTTGGTTGGTGGGTGGCAGAGAGAGAGATCAAGCTCCCATTCACTGGGTCCCTCACCAAATGCCTCTGAAACTGGGAACCAGCGCTCAATCCAGGTGCCCATGTGGAGGGGCCCAACTGCTTGAGCCATCAGATGTTTCCTAGAGTCTGCTTTGCAAGAAGCCGGAATCGGGGGCCAAAGCTAAGACCTGAAGCCACATGCTCCAGTATGGGCAGACCTCACCCCGTCACGTTCTGTATATTTTGGTTGAGAAGGCAGAAATGAATAGTACTTTTCAGGAACAGTTCTAGCCAAAATTGTTAACTTTAAAAGCTTCTGAAGTCTTGTCCGTCCCCTTAACTTGTTCCATGAGGGTTCCATGAAAATCTCTCCTAATATAGACTTTTGAGATAGTTCAGGATGTGTTAGTTCATTTCAGTTTCACTTCTGGGATATAAATATAACGTTTCAGATGTGAATGTGAGCTCATACAGTAACAAGCTTAAGGAACCAAAGTGTAATGAATACTTTAAATTCTGGCTTCGGTTTATCATTAGTGTTTTGTGTTTCTCTTCTAGGGGGATCTGTGGCCCATTTGCTGAGTAAATACGGAGCCTTTAAGGAATCAGTCGTTATTAATTATACTGAGCAGCTGCTTCGTGGCCTGTCCTACCTCCATGAGAACCAGATCATTCACAGAGATGTCAAAGGTGGGGCATTCTTGGTGCATTGTTGGTGACAGTGAGACAATGCACGTAATTGCTCTGAACCAAGTGTCTAGCTGAGGGATTGTTCATCTTGAGCTCTAGGATGTTAGAGCTGTAAGGAGCGTCGGGTGGCTTGATCCGTGTTCCTCACGCTACAGGCAGTTGCTTTCCCTGTGTCGGAGGCTAGCTTTTCACAGATTTACTGCTGTTGGTGGCAGAAAGTGTAGAATTTGGGTCTCTTGACTTCATGGTGTTCTGACTCTGAAAACATTTCTGTTTATTGAGAATAACTGGAATATCTTAAACTTCTTTCAAGAAAAATCCTTCCAAATATTTTGCAAGTTCAGCTTATTTTTGTTCAGAGCAATGTTGGTCTTCTGTCATAAGTCTCTAGCTGGTGTTTGATGATGTATTGAAGTAGTTCTGTAACATTAAGCTGTGACAGTTTGACTTGGTCTAGATCAGTTAATGCTTCAACAGAACTGTCTTAAAATGAAAGTCACACTAAAATTGTAATTTTGGAAAAAAAGTGTTTGTTGGAAATCATTCTGTTGAAGGTCTCAGTACTTCAGCTTCACTGTGTCCCTGTGCCTGTCCTTCAGACCGGCCCTCTGAGGCTTTCGGTTACTTTGCCGGAGATGACCCGGGTCCCTGTAGTGATCACGCAGTGAGGGGACGAGACCAGCTGCCATGGCGCCTGGGACAGGAATCCCCTTCTTTTCTTTGCCGCAGTCCCGACTTCCTCAGTAGCCTCTTCTGGATTTTTAATCTGTCCTTATTTTGTTAACATAGGTCATTTGCTCTTCTTGTTGACAGGTGCCAATTTGCTGATTGACAGCACAGGTCAGAGACTGAGAATTGCAGATTTTGGAGCTGCAGCCAGGTTGGCATCGAAAGGCACTGGTGCAGGAGAGTTTCAGGGACAGTTACTGGGGACGATCGCATTCATGGCACCTGAGGTGAGAAGCAGCTTTGAGTGCAATAAAAGAAAATGTTTGGAGTTCTGTGCGACAGCATTACACCATATTATCAAGCATCGGTATCCTATTTATACTTACCAATTAGAAGTCTGCAGCCCTAAAAATAAGATTTTAATAGTATTCTTTTGTTTTTTTTTTTTAGAAGATTGATTTTATTTATTCAAAAGGTAGAGTTACAGATATCTCCCTCCACTGGTTCACTCCCCAGGTGGTTGCAATAGCTGGGGCTGGGCCAGGCCGAAGCCAGGAGCTTCTGCTGTGTCTCCCAATACTTGGGCCATCTTCTGTTGCTCTCCAAGCACCTTAGCAAGGAGCTGGATTGGAAATGGAGCAGCTGGGACACGAACTGGCCCCCATGTGGGATGCTGACGTTGCAGTCAGTGGCTTAGCCCACTACACGCCACAGTTCCAGCCCCTTAATAGTAGTCTTCATTTCAGGCCTTTCTGTCTTTATCTTGACAGAATTATAGAAGTTCGGCTTTAGTAGATTTGCTCAGTGTTTCTAACCAGGAATTGCTGGGTAATTTACGGTAGCTGTTTTGTAGTAAAACCAAAGTGCACACAATAAAAAATTGTAATAGTTTGTCTCTTCTGAAGGGAGATGAACACACAGAGGTTGGTCTTCCTGGCAGTGGGAGACGTTGAACTTGCGTGGCTCCTGTGGCAGAGCCCTTCATGTTCATGTGATCAGTCAGTGTTGTCCTCTGGTCCCCTGCTTTACCAGGAGCACTGGGCTGCCTCCCAATTCTGTGACAGGACTCTAGAATCTCACAATTTCCCAGAATATTTGTTGCAGATAGGAGAGTAATCTTGTTAGTGAAACAGATGAAACAGCAGATAGTCCATGTCATTGCTCTTGGTACCGTTGTTTTGCTCTGAAGTTAAAAAGCTAGTATTCATAACTGCAAAATGGTTTTTATTTAAATAAGTCCCATTTCCAAATTAACTCTTCTGTATTTCAGGTACTAAGAGGTCAGCAGTATGGTAGGAGCTGTGACGTCTGGAGTGTTGGCTGTGCTATTATAGAAATGGCTTGCGCAAAACCACCTTGGAATGCAGAAAAACACTCCAATCATCTTGCTTTAATATTTAAGGTAATTGTGAGGTCAGAATTTCTCCTTTGGGCTCAAAGTGACAGGAGGCATATTCTCACAGGTTCTCGCTAATGATCAGTCCAACACAAAGTTAAAGCTTCCTTGAAATAAATATGTCTCCAGGAACTTGGGGTTGTCAGTGTTGGTGGCCTGTGTGATCAGTTGTCACTAGTTGAAGTAGGCATGCTTTGTAAGTCACTACAAACACTGAATTTTCTAATACTGAGTCATTGCTCATGTTCAAGGGGGCTTCAAAGTTTATAGGTATGTTCCTAAACTCGTATACATGAAATGCATGAAGAAAAGGTTTCTAGCTTTAAAAAATTGTGGAAACTTTTTTGCTCCAAAATAAATCTTTTTAGTTCTGTTTTTCCATGGACTTTTTGAAGTCCCTTGCATATATCTGTCACTTTAAAAACTAGAAGATTGAGCCGGCGCCGTGGCTCAATAGGCTAATCCTCCACCTTGCGGCGCCAGCACACCGGGTTCTAGTCCCGGTTGGGGCACCGGATTCTGTCCCGGTTGCCCCTCTTCCAGGCCAGCTCTCTGCTATGGCCAGGGAGTGCAGTGGAGGATGGCCCAGGTGCTTGGGCCCTGCACCCCATGGGAGACCAGGAAAAGCACCTGGATCCTGGCTCCTGCCATCGGATCAGCGCGGTGCGCCGGCTGCAGTGGCGGCCATTGGAGGGTGATCCAACGGCAAAGGAAGACCTTTCTCTCTGTCTCTCTCTCTCACTGTCCACTCTGCCTGTCAAAAAAAAAAAAAAAAAACTAGAAGATTTATGTATTTTCACAATTCATAATTTTTTAAAAATTTAATTTTCCATTTTGTGTATCTAAAAAATTCACAACCAGGTCTTGCCAAATTCTTTCTAGCTTTTTACAGCTATTAAATCCATTCTCCATTTCCTCCATGGACTAGTGGAGTGGTTGAGATTTTTAGCTTTGAGCAGTCCCGTCATAGTAGTACAGGCTTTGGAGTCAGACCCTCTTGTTTCACACCCTGACTCCAGCCCTCAGTGGCCATGGGACACTAAGATGACTTTTTGTGTTTACCCTCGGTTTGCTCATTTGTGAAATGGGTGTAAAAATAGTGCCTACTTCATGAGATTATGAAGAGAATCAGATACAGGAGGGCCTTGGGCACTTGGTGCCCACGTTACCTCTCACCTGCCATGTGCTCTCTGCACGTCCTTAGCCACCTTGGACAACCCCTGTTTCATACCATCACTCTTCTCCTGTCTTCCTCCGTCCTCCCCCGTCCCTTTTCTGTGGGTCAAACTCTGGCTGCCCTCGAGTCCCTTCATGTGTGATGCACTTCTCTTCCTCCCTGGACAGAAGGTGCTCAGTAAACACTCACGGCCAGTATCGATTTCAAAGTTTGATGCTGTTCTCAGAGTTTTGGTGAAACCCTGGAGATAATAGGAAGTGAGTTCATATTGCACAGTTGCATTTTAACAGGTTCAGTTACATTCTGCTTCGTAGATAGAACTAAGAGAATTTTTGTGCAGCATTTTCAGTTTGCTTAACTTCTAATGAATACTTTGAGCTCTGTGAAGGCAACCAGATAGAAAAACAGCTTTCTCAGTTCTATGCCATGTTTGTGGTGGTTTAAATTGTTGTAGCCCCCCTTCCCCCACCCTGTTTTAAGCAAATGACTTGGTAATATCTGCTGAAATTTTAAATAGACTTGTGCTCACTGTTAGAAATTTACTTTACATGTACCTGTAGAAAGTTGCCAAGTTCAGGATCATCTATTACACTATTGCTTATAATATCCCAGACCTGAACTAGCTAGGGTATCCATCCGTAAGAAAGTAATTAAATTATCCACACAATGCAGAGCTGTACAGACATTAGAGAGTAATGTGAGGCTGTTGGTGTTGATGTAGAAAGTGTACAAGATCTATTGATAGGTGGAAAAAGTGTTTAAAGTGATCCCTTTTGTAGATTTTTATGAAGAAGATCTAAGGGGTGTTTTCTTGTGATTAGGAATGAGTAGGTAGGTTTAAATGATTTAATATTTAACCTGTTTAGCAAAGAGTTAGTTCTTCATAGTGTTTGATACTAAGAATTAGGATTTATGTGACACTGAAGGAAAAAATCAGTGCAGTTGTGTTTTGGATGTACTAGATAGACTGGACAGATTTAGTCTTTTACGCTTCAAATATTTCTGTGCTTAAAAAGGAAAATGTTCAATGAAGCAGAAGTAACAAACCATCTAGGAGAGTGACTCTCAGGAAAGTAGGATCCATTTGAGTAAGTACATTTCCTACTTGATCATTTGTTCTTTGAGATAGTAAAACCTGTAGCGCCCATCTGAATAGGGTATATTTGACCCGATGCCAAAACCCTGAAGTTTGACCGGCGTTTAGAGGAAGCCTCCCCTCTGGTGGGTGAGCTTTCCCGGGGTTTTTCTCTTGGCAGAGAAAGTCCTCTCCCTTTGCGTCAGCGCCCCAGCTGAATGGATGACCGAGGTTGAGTGTGTGCACACAGGCTCCCTGGCGCAAGGCCCAGCTACGGGAAGTGTCAGCCCTCTGGTCTTTTCTCCTAGATCGCTAGTGCAACTACTGCTCCATCCATCCCGTCACATCTGTCACCCGGGTTACGGGACGTGGCCCTGCGCTGCTTAGAACTGCAACCTCAGGACAGGCCTCCCTCAAGAGAGCTACTGAAGCACCCCGTCTTCCGTACCACGTGGTAGCCAGTGGTGCAGACACGCCGTCGCAGAGACAGGACGCTCAGCCAGAGCAAAAGACTCGTGTGAGGAACCACGCTGATAACCTGCTGGCCTTCGTGCCCCTGAGCAGCCGTGACCGAGGCCAGCGGGAACCCTTACCTAAGTATGTGATTGACAAATCATGATCTGTACCTAAGCTCAGTATGCAGAAGTCCACAACTTGTGCAGAAACTGTAAACCGTGCCTTTCAAAGAACTGGCCCTAGGTGAACAGGAAAGCAGTAAAGTTTGCATGACTAAATAAACAATTTTATATTTTGGAGCACTTTTTCAGCAATATTAGCAGCTGAGGGGCTCAGGATCAATTTGAGTGTTTCAATTATTCTTCCATTTTCTAGAGTGATCACAAGCAGGGGGCTCTGCAATTCCGTTGTTTTTGTCACTGGCTATGAAAAATCAGTATCTGCCTCTTCAAGGTCAGAGTGTGCTACAAGTAGCAGTAAATCCATATATTTTTAAAAGTTGATAACTTCCTGATGACCCACAGTTGACCTTTATTTTTTTAATTCCTGGGCAATTGTGGCTCATTGTGCATTTTACTGTTGGCCCATTCATTTCGTTTTTGCAAATTATGGTTCTGTATTTTCATTTCACCTTCATTTTTCTTTTACATTCAGGGAAAGGTGATCTTTTCAAACCAGAAAAAATAGAACTAGGTGTGAACTTGAGTTTATTAAATATCTTGCTACTGCAAGCATTTTTAAAAATACTGATTTAATTTCATTTGTTTTTCCAATTGAAACAAAGCGCTACCTACGTTGAGTCAGTCACTGCTCTTACTGTGCAGGTTAAATATAAATTAACTGAAAATCAACTGTTCTGTGTGATGCAGCTTACAACCAAGATCAAGATTACCTTGAAATTTATTTGAATTTTTTTAAACATCTTTGGTTTCTCATGGTAAACGGTAGGAAGCTTCACGCCATTTTAGTCTTCCTCTGTGTTTAACAGTTCCTCATTCACCATCACCACCAAGAAGTCGAACTGCTATTTTCCTTCTACCATGCATCTTCAACAGTAAGCCTGGTAGACAATTAAGAAAAATTTAACTGAATTTTAACGTATTCAATTGCCAATTGAAAATGTCTTTGAACAGTTTTGCTTTGAACTTGGAAAATATGTTCAGAGAAAAAAGTGAAATTGAATTGTATTTACATACTAATCCTTTGGATTTTGCACAGCTGTCTAGAGGTTTTAGTCTGGGGTAGAATTCAGATGCATGGAATCTCAAAGGAAAATGGTTGTTCTTTTACCTTTTTCTGGTGAGTCTTTTAAATTAACCATTAAATACAACTTTGAGATGTTTTAACTCTTCAGAAGCCAGTGTGAAATGGAATTGGTTATTCTCAAAGACTCAGGATAAACTAAATAAGCTATATAGAGTACATTTAAGATGTACAACACAAATTGGAAGTAAAATAAGTTACAAGATAAGTTTACAGGGATATATTGCATATAATCTTCAAAAGGCAGTTTTTTTATGTGAATGTGTTTTAGTAAAATTTTACATTCCTTTGTTTTGGAAGATTGGCAATATTTGAAGAGTTAAAAAATAGTACAGAAATGTGAAGTTTGGTAGCTGTATATGTGTTGTACTTGACTTTTTTTTTGGACTACTTAGAATTTTCACAGTTCTAGTAATATTGTTTCCGATTCTTTCATGTGCAAGCTTTAAAGGATGCACTCTTGCCATTGTATGTCCTGGAAGGTTACTGGTCAGACAGGCCCTGCGTCTGGCAGAGGTGTCACCTGTAGAAACTGAGGAACCTCAGCTCATCAGTATTACCTTGTAGATCACCGTGCCCACCACATTCCCAACTCAGACTGGCTCTCGCTGTCCAAACCAACTGGGTTTGAGTTCCTTCCCAGTTCCCTCAGCTTGCTGGTAATTGTGCTGGTTGTTTTTGTTTTGTTTTCAATGCAAATGTGATGTAATATTCTTATTTTCTTTGGATCAAAGCTGGACTGAAAATTGTATTGTGTAATTATTTTTGTGTTCTTAATGTTACTTGGTACTCAAGTTGTAAATAGCGTCTACTGCTGTTAATTCCAGGTCTACTACCTCAGGTGTCCTATAGATGTTTCTTCTACCAAAGTTCACTTCCACAATGAAATGACATTTGCTGTGTGACTACGATTCCTAAGACTTCCAGGGCTGAAGGGCTGACTTCTAGTAGCACCTTACTGTGCAAGCAAATGTTACAAAAAAAAAAGAAAAAGAAAAAAAAAATCTCTGGGTTAAGAAAATTTGGCTTAAATGTATCCTTTGTTATTTTAAATATATCAAGATATTTTAATTAAAATTTTTACCCCATTGAACCAATTTTATAGTATTTGTACCTATTTTGGTGTTTTGTCTTTATAGTAAATAAAAGTTTTTGAACAAAAGTTGTTATTTTTGTTTTGAAATAATTTCATCCTTATAAGAGGGTTGTAGATGGGGCTGTTGTGGAGCAGGGGGTCACGCTGCTGCATGTGACACCAGCATCCCATATGGGCCCTGCTTCAAGTCCTGCCTGCTCCTTTCCTCCTCCAGCTCCCTGCTAAGGGGCCAGGGAGGTCAGCAGATAGTCCAAGGGCTTGAGCCCCCTGCATTCCTGTGGGAGACCCAGATGGCTTCAGCCTGGCCCAGCCCTGGTCATTGCAGCCACTTGGGGAGTGAACCAGCACTCCGCGCCCAGACTGTCTCTTGTACCACCCTCCTTGGTGCCGTCGCTCTGGCACAACCTGTGTCTTGCCCTGCCTATTTCTCCCCAGGCTCTGCCTGCACTCCCTCTCCTGCCTCTTCCCTGCTCCCTCCCCCTCTCTCCATCACTCTCTTCCTCCCACAAGAGCCTGTGTGCCCACCCTCCTGTCTCACTCTGCCTCCCCTGTCTCATGCCCGCCCGCCCGCCTGCCCTATTTCTCACCCTCCCACTGTCTGGCTTGCTGGCTTACTCACTCTCTCGCCCTCCCTCCCTGTCATGTGTAACAGGTTGGATGGACCTGAAGGACTTGATATTAAATGAAGTGAGCCAGGCACAAGAATTCGAATACTGAATGATGATCTCACTCGTTTGTGAAATGTTTAAATTTGCCCTCACGAGTTGAGAGGCTGGGATCGTCCAGTGGAGTGGGACTGGAAGTGTTAGGGCTGAATTCTGGTGTACTTCAGCACAAGACAGGGAATATAGTGACTAAGAATGGGGTGGGGGGAGGCAGCACCAGAGATGCCAGCATCCCGTATAAGTGCCAGTTCAAGACCCAGCTGCTCCACTTCCAACCCAACTCCCTGCTGATGTGCTTGGTAAAGCAGCAGAAGATGGTCCAAGTGCTTGGGCTCCTGAACTCATGTGGGAGACCTGGAAGAAGCTCCTGGTTCCAGCCTGGCCTGGCCCTGGCGATTGTGGCCATTTGGGGTGTGAACCAGTGGGTGGAAGATCTCCATCTCTCACTAACTCTGCCTTCCAAATAAATAAATCCTTTTAAAAAAATGTGTTGTACATATCAAAAGTGTGAGAAGCAAGCAAGGACTTTGAATGCATTCTCTAAGAAAAAAATGACAGAAATTTAAGATGAATATGCTAATTTCCCCGATTTTCACTACACAATGTATTATGAACCAAACATCACACTGTACCCCAGAAAACAGGAGCACATCAAAAAGTTGCTTCCAGCAACCACAAAACACCAACATGAACAGCTGTACACACACCACGTCACCTTCACAAGAACCACAGAGACCAGGTGAGTGCGGCTTCAGAAGAAAGGTCACATCGAAGAAACAAGAAGGAAAGCAGGGCCCACGTCATCGCTCCCCCAGCCCTGGGAGCCACATGTGGAAAGACGCCTCCTGCTGGGGAGACAGTGAGCCGAATCGCAGTGCCTGCCAAGGCCCACCATGACAGTTCAGTCAGACTGAGACCCTTGCCCTTAGCAGTGGAGTGGGTATTTGGAGCCTCCACAGCTAGGCGGCTCCTGCCACCCCTGGAGAAGCCAGGAGAGGGTGTTTGGAACAAGGCCTGCAGTCCCTAGACCAGCGCCTGGTCTGATAAAGCCCAGACACCTCTTGCCCTCCAGCCTGCGCTGACTACGCCTCTAGACATGCCCAGCATCGGGCAGACTTGCACTCCCCAGGTTGGACTCGTTTTAGGTGTGTTGCTGCTGACATCTGGTAAGCTTATCAGACACTCCTGAGACTCCAGTGACCTGTGATGGTGGGACCCAGATGTGACCAGTCTGGGACTGCCTTTACTACTCTCCTCCCACCCTGGGCAGATGACCAGGGGCCATGGGACTGGGTCTCGGAACAGTGCTGTGCTGAAAAAGCCCAAGAATGGGCAAATCCTGACAGTCTGCGAAGACTGGTGCCTGTGAACAGGCTCTGCATTTGCTCCAGTATCAGACACCTGTGCCCTCATGAGACAGACTTGTTTGGCTATGTATCACCCCTGGATTCTTGCAGGCCTGGTGTGTGCCCTCAGGATTGCACAGGGCCTGGTGACCAAGTGTGGGGAGCAATCCGGACTAGACTGTTACTCGAATTAAGACTTATTCTATGCATCTGCTCTCCCACAATATGGCGCTGGGAGAGAAGTAAACAGCTTCCGCACAGCTGCCTCGAGTTCAACTAATAAACTGTAGGACTTGCTCCTGATTGGAGAGCAGCGTACTTGGCGTGTGGGCAGCCGAGTTGGGATTGGCGGAGGAGGACTATAAAGGAGGAGAGAGACGGCATGCACCAGGAACATCTATGGGGAACATCTAAGGGAACCCGTGCAGCCCCCGAGAGAGCCGGCCGGCGGTGTGCCGCTCCCCTGCGGAAGTGGGGAATGCGGCCAGGGGGAACTGCCCTTCCACGGAGGTGGAAGGGATAGTAGCCAACCCGGGAAGAACCAGCAGCAAACCCGGGGAGGGCCGAGCAGACGAAAGAACAGCGCAGGGTTCAGTGTTGCTCCTCCACGAAGAGGGGGAGCGACATAATGGTGCCGTGACTCGGATATGAAGCCTAGGCAGGGTCTTGTGTCGTTCCCCCACGAAGACGGGGAGCGACATAATGGTGCCGTGACTCGGATAGGAAACCTAGGACGGATAGGAAACTTAGGAGGGAAGAAACGGGAAGAACTGGGAAAATATCGGAGAGAGAGACTAGCAAACAGCCTAGGGAAAAGCCGGACGAAAAAGGAGCCGGAGGAAGCTGTTGAAAGCCTAGGCATAGACTCAGATACGGACTACGGACTACGGGGGGAAGCTAGGAGAAATCTCTAAGGTCGAAAGCGAAAGTGAAAGCTAGAACAAACAGACTCGGACGCGGACTGTGGGGAGAGGCCAGGAGAAATGAGGGAGGAATATCGTTGGAGGAAAGCTTGGGGAAACATACCGGGTAGAGAAAAGTGTTAGGGAAATTGAAGCCGCGGGGGGCAGGCCAAGGCGGAAACGGAAGCCACTTTGGGGTTCTCAAGCTAGCCCGGGAATAGGGGGCGAAAAGTTGAAACCAGAAGCTGAGACGTAAGCCAGGTTGGGATCCGTCTGATTAGCCCGGGGAGCAAAGGACGGGAAGCCAAATCGTGGGGCGGAGACGTACGCTGGGTTGAATTCGCCAGGCTAGCCCGGGGAACTTAGATTGAATGCTAGTGGCGGACACGTGAGCTACGCTGTGTTACTCGCGGAAGCCGCTGCGTGCAGAGAGAGCACGGGGCGTGAATAGATAGGGAACTGGGCTGGCGAGGCCGTGGTTCAGACGCGAAAGGGTTAAGCGTGGAGACCGCGGAGCGCGCGAAGCCGAGCCGCGCAAAGCCGGGAAGCTGCGCAGATGAGAGAGGCGCGCGGGCTGAAGCGGCGCAGAGCCGGGAACCCGCCGGCGGGGCGAGGTGCCGGAAAGCCGCAGGGATAAGAGAAACAGAAGTTTTAGAAGTAAAGTGAGAAAAATAGGAATGCTGGAAGATAGAAGTAAAATGGGAGAAATAGGAATGCCCGGAGATAGAGAAATAGAGAAATAAAAAGGCCTCCCTACAACACTGCAATGTGAGAGCTTGGATTCGGTCTGCCTAATCAAGTGAGGCGATGAGCACCTGCGGGCAGCTAGCAGCTTATGCGCCGCAGGTCACCGAAGACAGGCACGAATTAACATCAGTAAGGCTTCCCCACAATACAACAATATTAAGCTTGGATTCGGTCTGCCTGATTTAAGGCGGTAAGCGCCAGCAAAGCTCGACCAGAGTATGAGCTGCAGGTCACCGAAGATAGGCACGAACCAACACTAATAAGTCTCCCCCACAATAAGGCAATGAGAAGGCTTGGATTCGGTTTGCCTGATAGGTCTTGTAAGTCCCCTGCAGGCAGAGCAGAGCATGCGCTGCAGGGCACCGAACACAGGCACGCATCAGCGCCTAAAAACCTCCTCACAACATGGCGAAGAGAGGACCCGGATTCGGTTTGCCTGATAGGACTTGTAAGAGCCTGTGGCAACTCTAGCAAGTAGAGCAGAGTGTGTGCCGCGGGACACCGAAGACAGGCGCGTATCAACGCTAAAAAATAAAAAGAAAGGGGGATCTGTGGGGAGCAATCCGGACTAGACTGTTACTCGAATTAAGACTTATTCTATGCATCTGCTCTCCCACAATATGGCGCTGGGAGAGAAGTAAACAGCTTCCGCACAGCTGCCTCGAGTTCAACTAATAAACTGTAGGACTTGCTCCTGATTGGAGAGCAGCGTACTCGGCGTGTGGGCAGCCGAGTTGGGATTGGCGGAGGAGGACTATAAAGGAGGAGAGAGACGGCATGCACCAGGAACATCTATGGGGAACATCTAAGGGAACCCGTGCAGCCCCCGAGAGAGCCGGCCGGCGGTGTGCCGCTCCCCTGCGGAAGTGGGGAATGCGGCCAGGGGGAACTGCCCTTCCACGGAGGTGGAAGGGATAGTAGCCAACCCGGGAAGAACCAGCAGCAAACCCGGGGAGGGCCGAGCAGACGAAAGAACAGCGCAGGGTCCTGTGTCGTTCCCCCACGAAGACGGGGAGCGACACCAAGACCTAGGGGCTGCCTCTCTCACAGGGAGCAAAGAATCACAGGACAACCATTCTGGGACTCTGTCAGGCTGAAAAACCTAGCATGGGGCAGATACTAACAGTCCCTGCCCCAGGCCAGCGCCTGCAGGCAGAACCTCTGGACCTGCTTCGGTGCCCAGTGATGTCTGTGGTCCTGATGGAGCAGCCTCTCCCCTAGCCAGCACCACCAGTGGTTGATAGGCGCAGCATCAGGCAGTGAGCCCAGCTCAGCCACGCACAGGCCATAGGGTGAGTTTCGGTCCTACCCATGAGCTGCACTGGTCTGGGTGGGCTGAGGGCTCCAGATGTGATCTAGCAATATGGTATTTGTAGGCACAGGACAAGAGTCTGATCCTACCCTAG